ATAATTGACGTTCAGAGCCTTTGTGGTGATACATAGCGAAGAGATGGTAAGATTATAAGTTATATATATATATATATATAACCTAGTACTAGCAACTCCCGACCGTAGTTGCGACCTTGACGTGGTGGTCGGGCTTGCCTATCATGATGAAGTGACTGAGCTATGCTGGCCGGAACAACCGTTCCTCAAGGTCCTACCATGCCAGACAGGTCGGTTGAAGAGCGGTAAGACTAAAAGCAACAAATCCAAGGTCCGAAGGCGAAGTCGTACTACTGAATGTACAGAGGTGTGACAGCAGTAAGGTGTTTCCTTCAGACAACCAGCATAACAGCGATGCTGCCTTCCCAAATGGAGGGGTGGGGTTAGAAAAGGTCGACCCTATAAATGCACACCTCGCCTTATCCCACGGATATCCGTCTCCAGCGGTAAGGTCTCAACAAGTACGGAGCTAACACAAAAACTACTCATAAAAAGGTCGTGTGTGACCGACCTCAAGCAGCTGTCCCTTTGGCACTATAGTCACGCTCTCAGGTCACTATGACCACCTATAATCCAATTTCCTTTTCAGGCACCTCAAGCAGAACCCTCCCATGGTGTAGGAAACCGGGAAGTGATAACCGCCCTCATACCTCTAACAGCACTCAAGAACACTGTATTCATATTCAACCTCCCTCTTCAATTCCTATTATTCCTCCTACATCGACTTTCAAACCTAAACTTCCTCCTTTGGTTTCCTCCTCAAGTATCACCATAGCCAACGATTCTAGTGCGCAAAACGCTGTCCCAGGTCTACTGAAACCTCGCTCCAAACTACACATTGGAGCCTTCAACGTACGCACACTATGCCAAATCGGTCAGCAGGCTTCCTTGGCTAAAATCTTAGAATCTCGTACAATTGATGTATGCTGTGTCTCCGAAACACGCGTACAGGATTCTAGTGTGGTCATTCACTTGACCTCATCTCGGCAAAACGGAGTGCCGACGAGATACACCCTCCGTGTATCTGGCGACCCGATGGCTAGTTCTCGTGGACTTGCAGGTGTAGGTATAGCACTAAGCATGAGGGCGGAACAAGCGCTATTAGAGTGGATTCCCGTTAACAGTCATCTATGCGCTGTTCGACTAAATGGCTCCGTAAGAACTCGGAAGGATAGGGAAACACGTCGTTTCTGCCTACGCTCCCACTGACTGCAGCTTGGATGAAGTGAAAGATGAATTTTACAGAAAACTATCTGAACTTCTCCAAAAAGCTAAACGTTCAGACATAGTACTCGTAGCAGGCGACTTTATTGCCCAGGTAGGTAGCTTAAACGAAACAGAAAGACATTTAGGTGGGTATTTTAGTATTCCGGCACAGCGAACAGATAATGGTGATCGTCTGCTGTAACTGTGCTCAAATAACCGTTTATTCTTAGCAAACACAAATTTTAAGCATAAGGAGAGACACCGTCTGACATGACGACCCCCTGCACCAAATCAACGAGGGACTCAAATAGACCATATTGCCATCAGTCATCGTTGGAGAGGGTCGATAGGAGATTGTCGTTCATTCTGGAGTACCTGCTGTGACTCCGACCATGTCCTAATACGAGCACCCATCTGCTTGCGCCTCACTGGACGCAAAAAAGCCTCACTAAAAAGACCCATTAGAGCTGTATTGAGTAACGAGAAAACCAAAAGTAGGTTCCAAGAACAACTGAGGTCGCACTTAGGTAGTTCTGAAAACGAGGCTGACCCAGATGTTGCTTGGAAAGATATACGAACAGCTGTGGAAACAGCACTGACATCTATTAGTGACTTAAACCAAAGGGTTACTAAGAACCAATGGATTTCTTCAAGGTCTATTGCACTGATGGATTCGCGCAAACTCATCCCATCAGAATCTGTACACGATGATGAGCGAAAGCAAATCAGATCTAGGTTAACCAAAAGTGATCGTGAGCAGTGGTGGGCAACGAAAGCAAAAGAGATGTAAAAGGCGGCGGCTATAGGTAACACCAGACAGCTCTTCAGACTCATAAAAGAAACTGGGACTAAAAAGTCAGGTGTAAGTGCGATTATCTCGGAAAAAGACGACGTTCTTATCTGCTCCCAGTCCAGACGTTTAGAACGATGGGCGGAACACTTTAAGGAGCAGTTCAATTGGCCTTCAGCTACTCTACAACTACCCACCATTCCCAGACAGTGTGAATGAAACATTGAAGTAGGTCCTCCAACTCTAGCTGAAGTTCTAATCTAAAACGGGGAAGGGCAGCTGGTCCAGATGGATTGGCCCCAGAGGGCTTTAAGGATGGTGGTCAAGTTTTAGCGATTAGGTTGACTAATATTTTAGCTAAAATCTGAGAGTTAGACGTTATCCCATCTAACTGGTCACAATCACTTATCGTCCCAATATAAGAAAGGGTCAAAATCATCCTGTGACAACCATAGAGGGATTAGTTTAACTAATATAGTATCTAAAATACTAGCCTCGATAATTATAGGACGCCTAACTAAGACTCGTAAACTGCAAACACGAGAGAATCAAGCTGGCTTCAGACCTGGTCGTGGATGCATAGACCACACATTCACCGTTCGTCAGGTTCTAGAACACAGGCATACTTATCGGCGTCCGACAGTGGTTGTATTCCTTGACTTAAAAGCAGCATTTGACTATGTAGACCGAGGATTCTGTGGCAGTGTCTGTGATTGAAAGGCGTACCTCAGAAGTACATAAACCTTGTGAAGGCTCTTTACTCGAACACTACTAGTCAAGTAAGAGCTTATGGCGAACTGTCATCTGCTTTTGCAACCTCAAGTGGTGTCCGTCAAGACTGTCTACTTTCTCCATTTTTGTTTAACTTCATCAAAGATCTACTGATGGAAATAACGCTCTCATAGACTGAATTCTCGGGCATTGATCTCCTACCAGGAGGTCCACTTATCGACTTAAAATAGGCAGTTGACATAGTCCTGTTTGGTGAAGACGCTGATAAAATACAATCTTTTGGTAGCCCTCAGTAACAATGCCAGAATGTTTGGGATGCGCTTCTCTCCCTCTAAATGCAAGTTGTTGCTTCAGGACTGACCTGCGTCAACACCTGAACTAAGAATCAGGAGTGAAGTAGTCGAACGCGTTGACAACTTCACTTATCTTGGAAGTGTGATCAGCCCTAATGGGTTGGTGTATGACGAAATCTCAGCACGGATTCGAAGAGCTCGTTTGGCTTTCGCCAACTTACGTCACCTATGGCGCAGGCGAGATATCCGTCTATCAATTAAGGGACGAGTATACTGCGCGGCAGTTCGTCCCGTTCTACTATACGGCTGCGAAACATGGTCTCTAAGAGTAGAAGATACTCGTAAGCTACAAGTATTTGACCACAGATGTCTTAGAAATATTGCTGGGGTCACCGGGTAAGTAATAGTGAGGTTAGACGTAGGGTATTAGGGAACGATGGTAAATCAGTGGGTGAGGTTATGAATCTTTATCGACTGAGATGGTTGGGCCACGTGTTGCGTATGCCTGAACACCGATTATCACAACGCGCAACGCTCACTGGTGTTAGGGATAATTGGAAGAAAGTTAGGGGCGGCCAAACCAAAACGTGGCATCAGTGCTTGGAGACACTAACTTCTGGTTTGAGCCATGTTGGTAGATGCAGACTACTTGGTTGGGGTCCGCGTGACTAGCGTAACCAATGGTTGGAGACTCTTGGTGACATGGATCAGAATCGATCACAATGGCGTCGGTGTATACACTCTCTGTCTTCCCCTAAACTAAGAGATTAAAATCGCTTCATGTCTTTCTTTCTACGAACTAATTCTTTCTTCCTGTATTATATCCTTATACACAATCTTTCTTTTATATACTACTACCTTTGATGTGACTACTTCTGTGAATCCGGTGTTCATCTTGCTTGTGCTAATGAAGTATGGCAACTTGGACCGATGCATATATGTGCCTGGTCCTACGTTGCAGCTGACTGACTGAGTACTAACAACTATACACCCTCACAATCTGGTAGCATACGAATCTTAGTGAGTTTGGGACACTACTTATAATTAAGTGAATGACTGTTGACTCTTTCGTTACAACCAACATTGAAGCAAATAGTTGGTAGTAATACTGCCTTTACGTTAGAACTTCAATCTTCACAGTACTGAAAAAAAATCACATCTAGATAAGATGTTTTGATGAACCCTGTAGCACAGTGTCGGATTACTAGAGACATCTTGAATAAAACAAATATGTAGCATTTCCACATATTATTTACCAGGAAACCTCAGAAGAGTTTACATTCGACTATCATGATCTAAAACCATCCTGAATATAAACCATATTCATCTACTCTTCCAATAACATCATATTTCCTAAATTCCTCGTCATTTTATAGTGAACAAATGCCCTGGTACGGCCGAGAGTGGGGAGAGTCCGCTCTCCCTGTCGAAATGCTCTCACATGGCCATGCGTATATAGCCCCTGCCAGGGAAGTCTTACTCACTGCCTTCTCGTGGCGGGGGTGTTGTTTACAAAAATGAGAGGACGAAAAGCGAATGTCTGGCGCTTTAACCGGACCCCAAATCAATGGTGCACATGGGCTCCAGTATCCTTAAGGAACAAATGGCGTATGAACCAATCGTTGGTCACCGGCTACCATGGGACTGCATCTCCTTACGATGCTCCACTGCCTTGTGGGTCAGACGTTCAGGTCAAAGGCTCGGGGTGTGGCCCCCTAAGACAACCACCTGCTTCGGTTTGGGCACCCGGGCAGTATCACAGCCCTCACACAAATCAATTGAGCTTTGTGTGGCGCATATGTATTTTGGTGCCTCCCTGTACCTATACTTATGTGTTAAAATAAATAAAATAAAAGAACAATTTCAGTGATCTGGATCTGCCTTGCCGATAGACTGAAACATATTCAGAACCATTGCAACTGATAGAATCACAAGCCCCCGAGACCAGAAAAATGATTGTGGAAGCTATTAATACATTTTGAACATCTAAGGCATAAGTTAACGACATAATTTTTATTACTTTTTTAATCACCACAGATGGTACAAACCGTTTAACAGAAAAATCATTTTACAGAAGAAAGGTATGAATACAACGAACATCGATATTTAAATCAACATTTTAAAACGAATAGATAGTAAGTAGTAGCCAAACATTATTAATACATATGTTGAAATCATTCTTACCAGTTTGAAGATAAAATTGAGTTCTACTCACAAAGACAGGTAGAGGAAACGGAATAGAAATGTGCCAAAATGGCTACCAAACATATTGGTCAGGTGTAAAATTAATATATCTATGATCATAATAGTAAGATTCAATAAATTCCATCTTATTATATGGTTCCGGAGTAAAAAATGCAATATTATCCTTGTATGCTTGTTCCATAATAGCGCAAGAGACTTCTTTTGTAATCGTTGGCAATCTAGCAATTGATGGATACATACTACCTTGACGTATATCATCGTCTGTAACTAATTCAGATAGTTTCTGAAATAATATTTAAAAGGAGAAAACGAAAAATTAGAGTACGTGTCATATATATGACGCTTACAATCACTGTAAAAATGGAACATGTAATTTATGAAATTGTTGCGTAGGCTAGGAAAATTTATACTAGTTAACCACATAAGTGTTTGTACACAGGAACTGATTTCTTTAAAAGTAGTAGTGATAAAAATATCATACATCATAAGTAATAATAAGCTTACGGTAGACTGTACTGGTTGAACTAAGAGCTCGTTATCACAAGAATATAAAATAGCGAGAAAGTAAAAAAATCTAAGGAACTAGATAAAATTTATTTTCTAACCAGATAGACGACCAGTGGCTAAATTCATTCAAAAGAACTGAATTTGGATTGTAATATCCAACGGTTTTTTCTTTAGAGAAATTAAACTGAATAGACTGTATTAATAACCAAAAAAGAGTACTTCACACAAAATACCAATTTTCATGCAAAACGTGATCAATGATAAAATTCTCTTGCATTTATAGTTCAGAGAAATGGTCTCTTTTAAGCAATCCCAATCCCAAAACTGTGTAATCCTCCTGTATTTGTGTTGTCTAGTTTCACTAATAACCATCTTCTCAACTGTTACAGTGTGTTAGCCTTTTGTCATAAATCATTTTTTTACTCTCTTTCCGATTCCATTTTATTTTTCGATTTATCTTACCATACTTTGTAATTCATTTTCCATAATTATTAATATTTAACTGATCTTTCTAGTACGCTTGATTAAAAAATTAACTTATTCACTAGGTATGAGATATTAGCCACACTTTAAGTATGATGACTTAAGATACCATCCGGTTTCACAAACTGAAGTGGGAGGATTGGGGTTTAAACCAGGAACTTCGAGCCCAAAATTCAAATGCCTTGACAACTAAGCCACCGTTCGATATACTTTGTTAAAATTCTATTTTTATTTGCTTGATAGAAATTAAATGTGTTGTAGCTATATTGTAATTGTTTTTTTGTTACTAAGTCCGATAAATTATGCTCATTAATAAACAAATTGTAGATTATTTCTTTAAAATAGCATGTTTTGTTACTATATAGCTTTGAGAATAAAATATATGAGAACAGATTTGTTCACCGAATCCCTGACTGACTCTTGAATGACTGGATAAATGTAAAGCACAAGAATGTATTTGACGTGTGGGAGAGAATGATAATGATTGGTTGTCTGCTTAGTCAGACATGTAGATAGTCTGACAGATGTCAGATGAGTTATAAATTCCCCTATCCTTATTATTATTACTCACTTATTATTGATTGTTCATTGTTGTTGGACTGTGTCGGGTTTTTGGTGTGGAAATATATTTATGTTGTGGTCAGGCTAATCACGTGTTCTTGATATGAGTTGTGTTGAAGTCCTTTAGAATAGACACTGGGAGGGAATCTAGTGTAGATATTCGTCTCGCGACCGTTGTTGCTACCTTGACGTGGTGGTCGGGCTTGCCTATCATGATGAAGTGACTGAGCTATGCTGGCCGGAACAACCGTTCCTCAAGGTCCTACCATGCCAGACAGGTCGGTTGAAGAGCGGTAAGACTAAAAGCAACAAATCCAAGGTCCGAAGGCGAAGTCGTACTACTGAATGTACAGAGGTGTGACAGCAGTAAGGTGTTTCCTTCAGACAACCAGCATAACAGCGATGCTGCCTTCCCAAATGGAGGGGTGGGGTTAGAAAAGGTCGACCCTATAAATGCACACCTCGCCTTATCCCACGGATATCCGTCTCCAGCGGTAAGGTCTCAACAAGTACGGAGCTAACACAAAAACTACTCATAAAAAGGTCGTGTGTGACCGACCTCAAGCAGCTGTCCCTTTGGCACTATAGTCACGCTCTCAGGTCACTATGACCACCTATAATCCAATTTCCTTTTCAGGCACCTCAAGCAGAACCCTCCCATGGTGTAGGAAACCGGGAAGTGATAACCGCCCTCATACCTCTAACAGCACTCAAGAACACTGTATTCATATTCAACCTCCCTCTTCAATTCCTATTATTCCTCCTACATCGACTTTCAAACCTAAACTTCCTCCTTTGGTTTCCTCCTCAAGTATCACCATAGCCAACGATTCTAGTGCGCAAAACGCTGTCCCAGGTCTACTGAAACCTCGCTCCAAACTACACATTGGAGCCTTCAACGTACGCACACTATGCCAAATCGGTCAGCAGGCTTCCTTGGCTAAAATCTTAGAATCTCGTACAATTGATGTATGCTGTGTCTCCGAAACACGCGTACAGGATTCTAGTGTGGTCATTCACTTGACCTCATCTCGGCAAAACGGAGTGCCGACGAGATACACCCTCCGTGTATCTGGCGACCCGATGGCTAGTTCTCGTGGACTTGCAGGTGTAGGTATAGCACTAAGCATGAGGGCGGAACAAGCGCTATTAGAGTGGATTCCCGTTAACAGTCATCTATGCGCTGTTCGACTAAATGGCTCCGTAAGAACTCGGAAGGATAGGGAAACACGTCGTTTCTGCCTACGCTCCCACTGACTGCAGCTTGGATGAAGTGAAAGATGAATTTTACAGAAAACTATCTGAACTTCTCCAAAAAGCTAAACGTTCAGACATAGTACTCGTAGCAGGCGACTTTATTGCCCAGGTAGGTAGCTTAAACGAAACAGAAAGACATTTAGGTGGGTATTTTAGTATTCCGGCACAGCGAACAGATAATGGTGATCGTCTGCTGTAACTGTGCTCAAATAACCGTTTATTCTTAGCAAACACAAATTTTAAGCATAAGGAGAGACACCGTCTGACATGACGACCCCCTGCACCAAATCAACGAGGGACTCAAATAGACCATATTGCCATCAGTCATCGTTGGAGAGGGTCGATAGGAGATTGTCGTTCATTCTGGAGTACCTGCTGTGACTCCGACCATGTCCTAATACGAGCACCCATCTGCTTGCGCCTCACTGGACGCAAAAAAGCCTCACTAAAAAGACCCATTAGAGCTGTATTGAGTAACGAGAAAACCAAAAGTAGGTTCCAAGAACAACTGAGGTCGCACTTAGGTAGTTCTGAAAACGAGGCTGACCCAGATGTTGCTTGGAAAGATATACGAACAGCTGTGGAAACAGCACTGACATCTATTAGTGACTTAAACCAAAGGGTTACTAAGAACCAATGGATTTCTTCAAGGTCTATTGCACTGATGGATTCGCGCAAACTCATCCCATCAGAATCTGTACACGATGATGAGCGAAAGCAAATCAGATCTAGGTTAACCAAAAGTGATCGTGAGCAGTGGTGGGCAACGAAAGCAAAAGAGATGTAAAAGGCGGCGGCTATAGGTAACACCAGACAGCTCTTCAGACTCATAAAAGAAACTGGGACTAAAAAGTCAGGTGTAAGTGCGATTATCTCGGAAAAAGACGACGTTCTTATCTGCTCCCAGTCCAGACGTTTAGAACGATGGGCGGAACACTTTAAGGAGCAGTTCAATTGGCCTTCAGCTACTCTACAACTACCCACCATTCCCAGACAGTGTGAATGAAACATTGAAGTAGGTCCTCCAACTCTAGCTGAAGTTCTAATCTAAAACGGGGAAGGGCAGCTGGTCCAGATGGATTGGCCCCAGAGGGCTTTAAGGATGGTGGTCAAGTTTTAGCGATTAGGTTGACTAATATTTTAGCTAAAATCTGAGAGTTAGACGTTATCCCATCTAACTGGTCACAATCACTTATCGTCCCAATATAAGAAAGGGTCAAAATCATCCTGTGACAACCATAGAGGGATTAGTTTAACTAATATAGTATCTAAAATACTAGCCTCGATAATTATAGGACGCCTAACTAAGACTCGTAAACTGCAAACACGAGAGAATCAAGCTGGCTTCAGACCTGGTCGTGGATGCATAGACCACACATTCACCGTTCGTCAGGTTCTAGAACACAGGCATACTTATCGGCGTCCGACAGTGGTTGTATTCCTTGACTTAAAAGCAGCATTTGACTATGTAGACCGAGGATTCTGTGGCAGTGTCTGTGATTGAAAGGCGTACCTCAGAAGTACATAAACCTTGTGAAGGCTCTTTACTCGAACACTACTAGTCAAGTAAGAGCTTATGGCGAACTGTCATCTGCTTTTGCAACCTCAAGTGGTGTCCGTCAAGACTGTCTACTTTCTCCATTTTTGTTTAACTTCATCAAAGATCTACTGATGGAAATAACGCTCTCATAGACTGAATTCTCGGGCATTGATCTCCTACCAGGAGGTCCACTTATCGACTTAAAATAGGCAGTTGACATAGTCCTGTTTGGTGAAGACGCTGATAAAATACAATCTTTTGGTAGCCCTCAGTAACAATGCCAGAATGTTTGGGATGCGCTTCTCTCCCTCTAAATGCAAGTTGTTGCTTCAGGACTGACCTGCGTCAACACCTGAACTAAGAATCAGGAGTGAAGTAGTCGAACGCGTTGACAACTTCACTTATCTTGGAAGTGTGATCAGCCCTAATGGGTTGGTGTATGACGAAATCTCAGCACGGATTCGAAGAGCTCGTTTGGCTTTCGCCAACTTACGTCACCTATGGCGCAGGCGAGATATCCGTCTATCAATTAAGGGACGAGTATACTGCGCGGCAGTTCGTCCCGTTCTACTATACGGCTGCGAAACATGGTCTCTAAGAGTAGAAGATACTCGTAAGCTACAAGTATTTGACCACAGATGTCTTAGAAATATTGCTGGGGTCACCGGGTAAGTAATAGTGAGGTTAGACGTAGGGTATTAGGGAACGATGGTAAATCAGTGGGTGAGGTTATGAATCTTTATCGACTGAGATGGTTGGGCCACGTGTTGAGCATGCCTGAACACCGATTATCACAACGCGCAACGCTCACTGGTGTTAGGGATAATTGGAAGAAAGTTAGGGGCGGCCAAACCAAAACGTGGCATCAGTGCTTGGAGACACTAACTTCTGGTTTGAGCCATGTTGGTAGATGCAGACTACTTGGTTGGGGTCCGCGTGACTAGCGTAACCAATGGTTGGAGACTCTTGGTGACATGGATCAGAATCGATCACAATGGCGTCGGTGTATACACTCTCTGTCTTCCCCTAAACTAAGAGATTAAAATCGCTTCATGTCTTTCTTTCTACGAACTAATTCTTTCTTCCTGTATTATATCCTTATACACAATCTTTCTTTTATATACTACTACCTTTGATGTGACTACTTCTGTGAATCCGGTGTTCATCTTGCTTGTGCTAATGAAGTATGGCAACTTGGACCGATGCATATATGTGCCTGGTCCTACGTTGCAGCTGACTGACTGACTGTAGATATTCGTCGAAGGTAAATTAACGTCACATACGTGCAAACGTGGAAACCCAACCGATATAACACTAAACGAAGTAAAACGAAGCGTTATAACAGTATCGTATAGTAAAGAATCTTAACGACAGAGAAATAACACTTGGTACAATATACGAAATTTATAAATTTTTGAATATAGCTCAATTTTATAAATAGTACGGGATTATATACCAAAGAACGAAGTGGAATATGATATTGCATTTAGAGAGGTGTCCACACCACACTAGACATACTTAATTCTAAGCTAATATGACTATTGAGAGCTCAGAAACGTAAATAAAATCATAGATCTACAGGTAATCTTGCTGTTAAGCGCCATTCATTTATTGAGACACAAATCCAGTGAATGGGTTTGAGTAAATCCACTATCAAGTGAATGTGCCTCTGACCAAACTTATCGATCGAGTTCCAATTAACTGCTGACATATTAGGTACCGGTTCAGTCAACATTCACCCAATGTGTTAGAAACGAGACCGATTTTAGCGCCAACACTACCACGCGTCATTACATTGGTGATGTAAAATAACTACTATCATTAGTTGCTATCGCCGTTGACGTATGTGGTTGGAGAAGTTTCCTAATAGTGAAGCGATATAAAGGATGATTTAAATTATTTCCCTCTCACTCAGGTATACTACGGTAATGAATCTAGTCACCTTATATCTGATCTAGGATTTATGACCCATAATAGAGAACCAAATTAACACTAGATACTTTATTTCACACAAATACAAGCGGTCACACTCAGTGGGTTCGAAGTAGAAATCAATGAGAGGGAAAGAAATCATATTTAATAGTCAGTGGGCTGTGGCTGATTGTCCACACTCAATGACCAATCATGTTTTACTCCCACTCCCACACATCGCAAAATTTTATTCTTAAAGATGCCACAGGGTGTCTTAGTTGTAATGCAAGAGTTGCAATACTAGCATTCATTTGGATTTTCCGACTTGCGTGAATGGCATATCCGTGCTGTACATGAGACACTAATACGTAACAATGAAGAAACAAAATGTTTCTGGAGTTTATAAATCATGGGTTGGTAGCCTTCGTAAATGACTACTAAGATTCAGAAAAATCGGTGTTAGACGTGGTAAGTGCGATGAGACTGCTTAGAAACATTTTAAATATATCAGAGTATTATTAAGTTAATATCTTTTGGTCAAGATGCTTCTATAGGTTTTGGAAAACTAGGATTTTTGAAAGTACTGGTCATTACATTCTATTAGAGAACGTTTGTGAGAAGGAACGCATGCATTAGGTTGAAATCATGATAAATTCAATATGCATAGTAATTTGTTGTTATTTTTTTTTACAAAAAAGATCAAGTTAGAAAGAAAAAACAACAGTTAGTAGTGTAGTTTACCTTTGCTGCAGTCAATAACAATTTATTAGATAGCGGACGAATGACAGCCAATGATAATGCGTTAACCAAACTTGGAAAAACATAGCAGTTGTTTCCTTGACTCGGTTTTAATAAACGATCATCTGGTGTTCGAACAGGTTCTGAAGAAGAACCACTAACAAATATACATCGCCACTACACATACACAAAGCAAGGGAAATGGATGAAAAAAAGTTGACAAAAGTCTCTAATGAATTTCATATTATTTCGTGTACGAATTAGAATAAAATTATAAACAACAAAGCAAGATAACTAATATTAAGATGAAAGTGTGCAGCAGTGTTTTAATGGTTAAAGGTGCTCCTATTTCGGACGCTGAGTCTCAGGTTCGAACCCTGATTCATCTACTTCGGTTTGGGCAACAGGGTAGTGACAACAGCTCTTACACTTAAAATGTGAATCAAAGCCAAGTACACGAATCTCCACCTAGTAAACGAATCTAATCACCATATCATGGGGATAAACAGAAAAAAATGTAATACAATCCAAAAGTTTTGATAAAAATTTAGTAAGAGCAAGCGCGTTGTTAGTTACCTCTTCAAAACGCTACGTAGAAATATCAAAGGCAATTTTTGTTTGATCCCAGTGTTAGACAATACTAATTCTAATCTCAAAGAAACTAAATTTGCTCAAAAGACCCCGAATTCACCTTACGAGACAGCCAAATAACAGTCGGCTATTACTAGCATGGGATAATGTGGATAAATTGCCAGTTTAGATCAATTCAAAAATCTTCAAGACAATTTACTGCCACTTTGTATGTTTATGCAGTCGTTTCAGAAGGTGGTATTACAAAAAGATATACCAGATTATTTGCTGTTCCAGTAAGTTATTAATTAAAATTTATCATAAACACCAAGTGTGAACAGCAGGATATTAAAAAAACATTTACAAAGTTAACCTCAGTAAACAAGCATAACATACTTCTGTAGCCTTATAAGCCATCTGGGAAGTGCATTCGCCAAGGTTTGATTGATTGCTCAGGACAAATATGATAGGAGTCTTATGGATTGTTGACAGTTCACGAAGAATATCACGTGTGAATGCACCGCTTTGTGCAGAAGCACCTGGAAAGAAATGAGGAAGTTTATCATGAGAGTTGAATAAAAGTTACTTTAAAATAGTCGAAAAAGAGGATAAATATATATATGCGATCTCTTCTTCAAGTTAGAAACCCTATGTAAAGTTCACTGGAATAACACACCCGATGTTAGTTATAGCCAAAACAGTTTTGGCTTCTCAAAGACTTTGTATAAGATCAACAAATAATGATTAGCTTAAGGTAGAACTCAAATTTAGGGCGATAAATACAACAAAAACAGTTAATTCTCAAATCAGCCAAACACAAACATGATCCATCAAAAATGGCTGTCCAAACCAAGTATGCGATAGCCAAGAAAAGAATAAATTCTAACTACTCATAAGTAGTGGAGTTATAAAACGCGAATTTCATATTTTATTAACTACTCAGAAGCATAGGATAAAAAAAGGATAGATGGAATAGTTTGTGTTCCATAAAATATCCTTATAATACACACGAAAAAGACGTATACTCCCTAATGACACTAATTGATATGAGAGTCCTTGGTTCAATCATTTTTTTATGCAGGGATAGTAGGGTGAGCGTGGGAACTGAAAAGACTCGTAATGTAAAAGGATTCAAAATAATCAAATATAGACTGAGTTATTAGTTAAAACTTGCAACGAATTCGTTGAAGCATCGAAGCATGAACTTATGTGCAACTAATCACTCAAAAGAGGTATGTTAAAACATGACCATTTAAATTTTAGTGATGATATGGGTTCGACTAATGTTTGAAATATTTTTCAAAAGTTTTAACTAAGCTGTATGATTAGGCAAAGTATATTTCTAAAGTTTTAGTCTAAAATGAAAATTATTGGGTTTTAACAAGAAAAGGATTATAATAGTAATTTACCAGAAGAAACAGAAAAACGTATAAGTACTTTTATGATGAACTGACATTAGTTAGAGAATCGTTGCAAACAAGGGATTTAAAAACAAAGATGAAAAATATAATTTAAATTAAAATAATAAAAAAGCAGTTGGTTGAAAGGGAAAATAAACTTATGAATGTTGAGTTACTTACCAATTAAAACAGAAGGTCGAATTAATCGAATAGCTTCCAAAAGTGAATCTATTTGAGGATAATCAGAACGAGCGAATTCTGATTTTGCTGCACTAAGTTCACGACTCTGTAATGAAACGAAATAACCATGTTAGTCGGGCAGAAAGTTGTCGTTTCAGCAATAAGAGAAATTCATAATGTATGTATTTTCAAGTTATAGTGTAGTGTGGTACATTAATTACTCTATAGGATGACAAACTCAAAAACACAGGAGTGAGAAAACTAATGTTATTGACGGTAAAAGGTTGAGAGTATGAAATGAACGAACGAAATCGAGAAATAAGAACGACCAGAAAATACACAAATTTAAAGTTGAGAGGAAAGATAAAGAACCAAGCCGTCTAGACGATTGTAACTCATTTCAAAACACGCCACCTAAGGTCTTCAACGATTATTGCTTACAGTCTTCTTCTGTAGCCCAATCGCGAAGTCGGCACTTACAAATACAACAGTTAGTGTCTCCGGAGATTGATGCTATCTTGATGTGTTACTACAGCTTTTCTCCAACTGATCCCTATGCGAGCTTCTTCTGCTGCAAGTCAAGGGATGTGGTAGCTAAGACATGTATTCTACATCCCCATTCACTTCAAGCGATAAAAGATCGTAGCCTTGTCATCCAGTTAAACGTTACTACCTATTATCATAAGCTGAACCTCAGAAACATCGAATTAATAGTTCCCCTACAGATGAAACAATACTTCGAGAATATCTGTAATCGGATGTCAAGAACAAACTGTTTCTACCTACATAGGCCAAATTTTACAACTATAAAGTAGTGAACTGTTGAGATTCTCCGTACAATACAAGATCAACGAATATGAACAGTATAGATTTTTAATTACAAATATATGCGTGAACTGAGAGTTGAGAAAATTTCAAGCATCGTTATTTAATACATCGGTAAAAATTTGATTAAACCGCAAACAAAAATAAACCATTTGTTGGCGACACTTTCCAAGTTTTTTCTTGATTATACTATTTCAAATAATATTTTTATAAAATAAAAAATTATTAGAAAAACCATCTCTATGACGTTAAATGCTGATAATTATACTGCTGGTTAAGCAAACAGTAGAATGTTTCACAAGCATAGCTCTATTTACTAACTTGAATACGTTAAGAACAACGATTTAAGCAGAATAAAATGAATTTGTCTTATATCATCAGGTTATTATTGTTGCTCTGATCAAATTGCTATTTTTGCACCTATTTTAATTTAAATATTTAATGCTGAGTACATGCTTTTTGTATACGAAAAAAGCTTACATAATAAGTACAGCTTTTAGAGAAACATTGCAGTCATTAATACTGTTATACAATATTATATCTTAAAAAGAACAGGTTCCTGTATTATGACGGACTCCATGTGGTCAAGACGCTATTATAGACGCAGAAGTACTGTCTAGTCTGATTATCTGTCAAATTGTTCTGAACCTATTAGATCAATGACAATGACCGAAACTTTAGCACCTATTGGTCCCCAAGCTTCGCTCAACCAAGTCATTCAATCAAGTGAAATTAGCAACCAGATAAGATTTCTATTATGTGACCATTCCATCATCCCATACAATGAAATAATTTCCTGATCGTATACCAGTATCAATAACAAAGTACATAAGTGCACCATAACTGGAACACAAACTAAGTAATAGGTCCGTAACTAACGAACGACAACTTGAGGAAGGTAAAACGTATAACAAAAGTTTATGCGCCAAACGAATAATTACAATTAGAAGAATGCAAGGACACAATAATTCAAATGTCTATACAGTAAAAATATTAACAATAATTCCCAATAAGATAGTTCCACGATTTACAGCTCTTTCTCGATATTCATTCCGTTATGACACAATTAGATAAGATTGTCAATAATCTTATACATCAATAATATCATAAAGGTTTATTTTTTATTTTAACATTCACCGAAATCATGACTTAGAAAAACCCTATCAACATATCCAAGTGTGAACCGATTTGTACGATTAGGTAAACATTGTAAACATACACTAAGTTTTCAGGTTATTGTAAACAAAATATACTAGCTACGAAAAATTTTAGACGAATTGGAAAATACGATATTCAAGTGTATTTTTTGGCATTAGTTCGTAGTAAGGCGTAAGACTTGACCTTGGACTGATGTATTAAAATTTTCAATATCATACCAATATTTCCAACCATACATTACTGGATTTTATAATAAAATATTTAAAATAAATAACACTAATCGTTATATGAAGAAAAAAAAAACTTGGCTAATACATGAGCAAGTGCTTCACAACATAGAAGTTTAGAAGCACAACCAATTCCCATTGATAAACTTCTTTATATGGAGAACAAACAGTGTAGGATAAAGTGAACTCATTTCAATATCCCTATTCTATAAGCATCTTCCAACCTGAGTTATTTTAAAATTAACTACAGCAACAAGTTCATCATTTAATTTACCTATATTTCCACGCCCATTTTACCGGTTATTCTTGACCTCACTGTTACATTAAAAAATATTTGCCTCTAACACCTAATCTATTCACAATCTGACCCTATTCTTCACATTCGTCATACAATTATATTGATAATAAACTGTTATGCATTTTGACAGTGAGGTTATATAAAGTTATTAAAAAATTCTTTTAAAAAAAAACAAGGAAAGTTTAATAATCGTTTGATTGTTAATGGCTTAAGTATTCATCAAAGGATAGATAGGGAAATTATCATTGGGAAAGGATAGCTCAGCATGATAAGATAAATGTTGAAATTGAGATCAAATGTAATGAGGATGATCGTGGAAACAAAATGGATCAGTTAGGGATAGAAAATTTTCACCACGAACTGGTCTAGATTAAACAACCACTGAAAACTGGACAGCACTGAACATCTGTGAACTATTTGTGACTGTTTGTAACATTGAATTTATTGATTTTATATCATAATTATTATTGGCTTTATTTAATATCATGATTTTGGTACAATATAGAATTCTCAGCAAAAAGTATTCTAACAAGTTCCCTTATTTCTTGGTCGACCCTTGCGATAAATATTGAATGGTCGCCAGTTAGATGTTAGCAGTTCAGGAATGGACATCTGATTAATGTATATTGCCAGCAACCACGATGTCTCTGATTGGACTCTTTTGTAACTTGTACAGCGAAATGTCGTGGACTTCTCACAAACGCACCTGAATAGGTTATGCGATCAATTAGCATAATGATGTGTCAAAACAAACAAGAAAACATATAGCTTGTTGAAATATCCGGATGGCAGGAACAGGTAGCCCAGATATTCAAGCAGGCCGCCTTTACTTACCAGGAGACTTACAGATCGTGTGCTCAAATATGTGTGGGGTCATTTTATGTGCGTCTTAGAGTTTTCTACTTCCTACAAATCTTTCAAAATACGTCAATTTGTAGTCAAATTTACTTTCGAATTACTATATGCAAACCATATTTGTGGCATCACATTTCATTGATAAAATTGGTGCCTATATAGATTTCGGGAAGACGAAATGAAGTGAATGTCATCCACCAGACAATGTTTGTTATCTTTGCTTCACAAATTTTAGTTACCATAACAAAAATGTCTGGTTCCCCTTCTTTTATTAGTATTTCCTATTTATCAAGTGGTATTTAACTAAAAGAATGGAACTGGTTTACAATTCCATTTGGCATTAAAATGAAATATCTATACGAATTGGAAGATAAGTTCTTTATTACTAACAACAAGCGGAGGACTAAAATCGTAGAAGACTGAATAGCTACTTCATTTTAGTTCGGTACTCCTCATGAATATGCTCCTAGGAGTTTCAGGTCTTATGACCCAAAAACGCCTTCAAGAGATTGAATTAGAATCTAAAGGTCTACATTTTTAAATTCATTCTTTTAGCGATACTGATTGACGACATTGGTGATAAATGCATGTTTCAACAGAGTTAAACACCACTAATCACAGTTCAGTAAAAACTCGGGGGATCGCATCTTGAAGCTAGTGGTTATTATTAGGTGTACAATTATTAGTTTGAAGAACTGTAGCCGAACTTGATAAAAAAATTTCACAAACTACCTATCCAAATATCTATGCATACTGACCTATTTCTCTCTTTATCTAAATTCAATGATGTGTTCAGAAATGTTAGTGTAGATATAGATATGTAGGTAAAATCGTAATAATTAGAGTGATTACGTTAAAGCAGACTATTATTTTCACTGCTCAAAAATAGCTAAAACAAGATGGCATATTAATTAGTGATAAGTACAGTTAAATAAGTATTTACATACTGTGACAATTAAACCTTTAGAATCCATCATAAAAATACGTGATTTAGCTTCACCTTCAGAGAAACCCTCCTCCATAATTGCTTGTACTAACAAACGTGCTATACCGATAGAAGCCTGTATAAACAAAAACATATTAGTTAGTGAAATTGTTGATCTCAATTGAATAAAGTGAACGAAGCGTGTTATACATAGTTAGTGACCACTTAACCAATAACTTAGAAAAAAGCTACAGGTGTCCAATTAGAGAATTGTATTAGTACATATAGGTCCGTGACTAGTGGTCTGAATCATGTAAAACAATGTTTTTTGTCGGGGTCTATGAGATAACAGTTATGGTTGAAGAATTACATTTATGACCTAGTGTTGTACAGACACGATGGGAACAGAACATAACATTGTTCTGTGCTCTTTATATTTCACACAACGAATACTGAAGAGACCGATATGTAATTCACGAAACTAATCTTTTTCGTTCCATCTTTACTTAAGACTTTTGATATTAGGAAATAAATATTGTGTAAAAGAAGCTAGAATTCAAATATTGTTTAACACTTATTTAATAGAATTAAATCTTCATACCAATGCATACAAAGCATAACTGAGGACTGTCAACTTTTAATCCAGTTAAACTTAGCCCTTAACAATTGAATGTTCTTACGTAGCGAAATCTATTAATCCTTCTCTTAATTTTCAGTGTCATTAGAAGCTTCATATTATAGTGATTTCAACTGGCGTAATGAGCAAAGCTAACCTGAGTGCATGTTAAAAGCAATAATGGATATTATTCCACTATATTTACAAGATTTTGTTATGACCATGTAATTATTAGGTGGATTAACATTAATTAATATCTGTTTTTTACTAGAAAACCATAAATTGAACATATTCAAATGAATGAAATAAAAGCATAACTTACCCCCCCGCCACCATAAAAGAGATAACTATTCTGAGATATTTTCTTTTGTGTCACTCTGGATGCAGTCATCAGACCTGATACAATAACCACAGCAGAACCTGATATAATGAATAGAAATAGAATGAATACGTTTAAAAAGGTAATTTTTAAGTCCATTCCACATGTGAATATCTGTCAATTAAAAATGTTTATAATACAGTTCTAGTCAAATCATTAGATCTTTATCTTTAATAAAACAGTAGAAAATACCTGCTACTGTGAGTTCCTGACCAAAATATTAAGAGTAGAATGCTTTGGGTAAATAATATTTAGTTATTAGGTAAGTCATTTAAAGTCCAAGTTTTAAACCGCTTAGTTATAGCTAAATCATTCATTGTACTAAAAAACTTGAATGACAAAATCTTTATGACGGAAACTGAATAATGGGAATCAATTTGGTACAATTCACGAGGAAAACTTAATGTGTAAGAAACTACAATTTTAAATATATCCTCACAAAAATTTTAATAATACGCACAGCTACAAAAAGTTCATTTGATTTTATTTTTATCCAGTGAATAAATTATAAGTATAGAAGAGTGAATATATATCTCACAGTAGGACACTGGGTGCCAAACGGTTGAAAACCAGTGTCAAATACTTTTGTTTAGCTCTGTCACGGATTTATTAGTCTCGACTAACAAATAAACACGAAACCGAACCCAGTGCATTTGGGTCTTACAGTGAGTTAAGCAGAGGATTAGTAGGTTATTTGTTGTTGGTAAGCTGCTCAAGTATTATCTAAGGCATACAAGAGGTGAGAAGATAGTTCTTTTTAACATACCTGAAAACATATAAAAGCTGTTCTAAGCTCTTCTTAAATGTGTTTACTCTTCATACCAAATGTCTGCGTTGTTTTGTCAAGTAGTTTGTGATGTAAAATAACACACCGTTGTGTTGCGAATCGTTGATTTAAGTAACCAACTTTTAATTACCAAATCACGGTTTCTAAACCTGTCTTATCTACTGAGAATTAGGTATCATTGGTCACTAGCCCTCACAGAATGCTTGTGGCTTAAAGCCTGTTCGAAATTAGTGAGTTGAGGCAACAAGTTCTAGACTGATCCAGTGAATCACGTAGTACATTGACTGTTCGGGATGAGGAATCCCCAAATAAAACTTGAGCGGAAAATTAATGTCGAATCAAGATAAACACATGCTAAATCAATTTATTCAGTGTGAAGCTACTTCGTGAACCTTCAGTGAATTTTCCACTATATGTGTTCATTGATAGTTACTCAATTCCCTAACTATAATCACTGTAATCGATATATAATTAATTATCTCAAATGTACATTGAATTCTGCTGGTTTTGGTCAACAAAGCTTTTATATGACTACTAGACTTCTTACTCTAGTTAGCATATATATCTGGTGCCCCCGTGTACCAATTTTTATGCGTTCAAATAAATAATAGCGTGGTAAAGAAGAGGACAGCGTCAATATCGTTCACTGCATTGAGGTTAGAGTTGTGAAATACTGGCTTAGCGTACAAACATATCAGACTACGATCACAAAACTTAATTTCCAATGCCTATTCTGAACATTTCAGCTTTGTAAATCAACAAATACGTAATGGAATTCCAATAACGGATAAAAATAAAACGAGCACTTTATTAACCTTGTATGTCATCATTGAATGTTATGTAATTCGAACGATATCTCTCTAAAAGTTGAAAAGCATTTGAATTCTTGAAGTCTGCAAAATGTAGACAAACATTTGGTCCATAACTAGATGTGATATGATTGTTAATTGTAACAATATTACGACATACTGCGCAGACAATGACTCCACAACTTCATCCATGAAAGAAATATACTCTTCTCCAGTGGCCCGCTTCCGACGAAGACCAACATAAAACTCATCCTGACAAAAATGGGAACGTTAATAATTAAGTGAACATATATATATATATATATATATATATATATATATATATATATATATATATATATATATCCTACGGGGTAAAAAGCTCACAATATAAATTAGGAAATGTTAATGAAAAACGTGTAGCATGAAGGTTAATTTTATATATGAAAGTTTTGCATCGACCATAATTTAGTTTGAGCATAAAGACCACTGAATCAAATGCATGGTGATAATGACAACAGTAATGTAATTAAGAAAGCAAGTCACAAGACTACGGGTCACTTCTATTTTATGCGTGGATATTATGCCTTAATGAATAAAGTGTAGTTCAAATCGGTAATCTGTTTGTTGAAAGTTAAATGTCCCAGTCACCGAATAGTACTTGTCTCTGAGCAACAATTTGACTTTAAGTGACTGCAAACCACGTTGTTGTAGACTACTTTCCCTATGATATCTACACCTGAAGCAACGAGAATTAATCTTCGCATGACGTCAACTAATTTGAATAAAAATTAGTGAAATCTACGAAAAAGACAGAACTAGTAAAGCTGAAGTGCAGCTGATTTTTTTTTGGTGACAGATCAAATAATGATGACCGTCTCTCACAGCTTTGTGCAGACGATAGCCCGTTTCTGGCTATCAATAACTATCGGTAGTCATCGCTAATGTGTACCCGGCTCCTTCCCTCCACATTTAAGGTCTGATTGATCACTTCGCGGCCAGCTATCGCTGGGATTATTGTGTACAAAACTCCCACCCCATATAGAGTACTTGACTCGACTCGACTCTGATCATGCCCTCGTTTGAGCTTATCGCATCGTACGCTTCAACGTCTAACAAACTTCTCGTCTTAAACGGATTAATACGGTCAATTTGGTGGCATCTTCCGTCACAACCGAATATCAAACCGAGTTAGGTCTAAGGATAGCTTTAAACCCAACGAAAAGTACAGGTGAGTACTGGTTCTAACTGCATGACGCTGTGAAAATGGCTGACCAAGTGTCTAGTGGCTTCACAAAACATCCCGCATTGTGTTTTTACAAGTTTTTTAAAACCCCTGGAGACACGTCAGTCTACTTTGGCCAATCTTGAGTTGGACGATGAACGTAGGATGTTACGTAGAAAAACTGTGTAAAGTTTGAGTAAAGACTGAGAGCTTTGTACCTAGAGCGTGATAACGAGTTGATGACAGCAACAAATCCGATCCACAAGCAGCAATGAGTCTGAAGCAATCCATGACGCCAATTTTTAATATCCACAGACGTCTAGGAGGATTGACAGTTCTTCGAAAAGCAGTTTTACTGGTCTGTTGCACCAGCTACATCGACCAAACTGTTCTGTTCTCCCCGGTCAGTGTCGACCGATCCACCTAATAAGGCAGAACTCCGCAAGGAACTGTAGAAGCGCCACAAATCACCAGACCCAAACTAATTACCTTTACCTCTTTTTAAGAATGGTGGCGACCTCCTGGTTATTGAACTGACTGAGCTATTTGCAAAAGTTTGGAAATTAGAGTTTTTCAACATCCTGGAGTGAGTCGATAGTCATCCCTATCTTAAAGAAGGGTTTAAGTTACCCATACAACTATTATCGGGGGATAAGTCTACTTTTGATTTCGTCCAAACTACTGGTCTTAATCATACTTCGCAGACTGTTCATAAGCTGAGAAAGATTAACTCACAAGGAGCAGATTGGCTTTTATTGTTATCGAGGATGTATTAGTCACATCTTTACCCCAACACTTATTTCAGGCCAACAACCGTTGTGTTTCTTGATATTAGGGTTTCCTTCGATTCGCTGGGTAGAGCTGCTAACCGGGATTACCTGTTGAAGAAAAATGTGTCTCAGAAGTTTGTTAACATCTTGGAAGATATATACAAACATCTCAGGCAGAGTGGAGGCACAGTTGCCTCTCCGCGTTATTCCGCATAGGCAATGGGGTTAGGCAGAGTTGTCCAATCTCACCATTCCTCCTCAACTTCCCCATCGATAACGTCCTGAAAACAACTCTAATGGAAGTAGATAACAGTGATGTGGCCCTGTCGCCTGGAAAGATACTTTTTGACCTGGAGTATGGGGATGATACTATTTTGTTGTGAAGTAACATTCGAGCTCTCCAATCCGCAATTGGCTATTCGGCAATTCGTGTCCGCAGGTACGACAAGTACTTAAATCGTGTAAAGTACCTTTACAAGACAGGTAGGGACCTGTGTGCGCGCTCACGCTTAGTAATGGGAAGTTAAAAATAGTCAAAAAGCTCGTGTACCTGGGTAGCTGTATAAGTACCGGTGGTGGCATTAGTAATGAGGTCAGTCTACGTATATTAAAAACCAGAGCGGCTTATATCAATCTGGTTCATCTTTGGCGCCTTTGTGATGTTACTCTGGCTGTAGTGTCAGATTTACAACGCGTCGATGACAGTAGTTTGGTTTTATACTTTTGAAATCTGGTTTTTACCTGTCAAGGACGTTAAGTGGCTATCGGTGTTTGTTCGTCATTGTCTACGGAAGATTGCTGACATTCAGCGATGTGCGTCCGGGTGCAGTGAAGATAATTTACTCGGTCACAACCTAAAAACACCAACTTCGGTGGCTTAGACATGAACTACGAATGTTGTCCCAGCGAATTCCACACCGTGGATTATGTGCCAACACCGATACTGACAGGATAAAGCGACCAGTTTATGAGACGGTGTGGGATATATAGTCAGCTGTATAGGATTGGTGTCTGCCGGTCTATCAAGGTTCGCTGGCTGAGGTTCGAGGAATAGTGAGACACAGTAACTCTAGAGATTATCAGAAATAGGTCAAAATAGAACCCAGTGGCGGTTCTGCTTTAATTTAGTCGTAATTTTTTTTTATTTAAGTGAGAGCAACTTCTTTAGCTGGAAGAATCCTGTCCGGTTGTTTTTTTAAATGAACTGCTTTTTCCACTACTTTTTTTACTCATTCACATATTTGCTCGTTTAGTTTTTTTTATACTATACTCGCCTTCCTTTCTCCATGTCTTTGCGATCTCGTTTCCTTATTGTGTGACCCAAATATATTTTGGTGCCACTTTGTATAAGTATCAGTAAATAATAAATATATTTTACTATGTTTACCTTTATTTTGGATTTACTAGCTGTAAAAATTAGACTTAGGTAATCTTTCGGAACGAACTTCCGTAAAATGTACTCTACGCCAACTGATGGGAGACAGTTTAGTCTGTTAGTGATTTTAGAAAATCCAAGCACAATTCACTTACGTGTACATAAGTAAAAACGTTTTCTTGGGTGACTGTAGTCTTTTAAATTCCAAAAATAGGCATGAGTTATTAAAATCAACAGTCAGTAGATCACATAAGAAAAATCAACAGACTACTAGAACAAATAGCTCAACCTTTTTAAAAAATAATAAAATTGATATATACCTCCAGAAGCTTTTCATTGTTCGTACCAACATCCAACATCACAGGTAAGCAATGATAAGGTTGTAAGCCTCCTAAGGCAGTGTAAAGAACAGCCTTGCTTAGAGGAATAGCCATTCCATTAGCACCCATATCTCCGAAACCCAATATACGTTCACCATCCGTCATGACTACTGTCTTTAATGAACCTGTTTTCAGTTCAGTATTTTGCATTTACCTTGATTGTATCAGCAGGCCAATTCTTTAGCAAGGTAAAAATATGCCCTCTATCTTGAATTGTAATATAAATACCTCTAGAAATATGGGAAATATAGCAACTTACCGAGGCCTTCGGAAAACAAAACCGAAATTCAAGCATGCTAAGCCTACAGTAGGTGTGTAAATAAGTGGTAAGCAATACTCCAAATGTGTTCTGATAGTCTACGAAATAATCTTATTGAATTATTATTACCCGATAAAACAGCTTTTCGTTAAGATCCTGGAGGGACATTAGCATCATGTAACGGCTAAGATTGTCATCCAGCTGATAAAGGTTTGAAATAACTCGTTGTTCCTCAACATCTTGATTTTGGGGATTCGGTGGCAACAGTCCATGAATTCCCAGAAGTTGGCGTTCATGGAGAGTATACGAGGAACCCTGAGGAAAAACTCAATATGGTGAAGTCTAACCTTATTTGTCCGTGGGTCGCGCAAAATTTCGATCCCTCGTGTCTTTAAGCGAGGCGCATTTCGAATTAATGAGGGGATATAGCGGTAACTCATATTGAGATTTCCTGAAAATAGTAAAGATAATTTCAGATTCCCTGGAACACGTAACAACTCAGAACATGGAAGTAGGACATCAGTAAAGAAATGATTCATATTTTAAATAAATTGTTCGCACAAACTTATAATTATCTAGTAAAGTGTACTTCAACGGAGTGCAGTTGTTTTCAGTTATTATTAGTAACCCAAGCAAACAAAGGTGAACATTAAGAAAATACGGAGGCAATTCCTTAAGGAAAATCGGTGTGAATATGGGTGACAATGCGCGAAATTATCACCTTAATGGTCCGGAATAAATGGCATGACTTTTCAAGACTTCCCATGTAATAGGAAATGCTTACAAATGAACACCTTCACCTTACTCAAATTGTAAACCTTTCTCCAAAATTAACACCATGTTCCCCTTCATTTCCCCTACTTTAATTGCTTTGGGAGATAAATTTGCTTTGAGAAGTTCACAAAGTGTGAAGTTGCCACGTAAAGTGCAAAATAACTCTGAAAAAAATTATAATTTCCCTAACAGATGAAGTTATTGGAAGAAAAACAGTCAAAACGGACACCTGCAGTTTTTATGACCACCCCAATGACCGGCAACGATCCAGTGGCATTATCCGTTGACGGAGGTCAGTGAGCACTTGAAGGTCGAAATTTCGTAAAACGATTGGTGCGTCACCTCGACAATTTGTAAAGTTTTGCATGAGTGGTCAAATCAAGACAAATACAAATGTTGAGTTCAGCCATACTATTTCTGATAGCCTCCATCCTTCAAGTAACAAAAGTGATTCCATCGTTACGATGCATGATATTATGTTATCGCGACGATTCTCCAGTTGGGACAATTTCGAAACCAGACTGAAAGAAGTACGTAAGGCACCCAATCTCCCTATTCTGAGGAAAATCTTACCCGTTTTGGGAAAATTTTGGGGAAGCCGCAATAGAAGCCACATCGTCAGAATCCGTTGTTCTTACTGACCATGGCTGCGACACTTTATAACAAGACCTTTGGATTTATCATTTTTCTTCGGTTTTACATAAATTAATTTATATGGCCATCAACTTGTTTATGCAGCGTTGCGGCAGGGATAGTGTACTGTGAAGTCTTGTGTTGCTATATAACTGATAAACAGGAGTATGGGTCCGTATTGATGTGTAACGATTACCATGTTGACACCCACGCAATCAGTCATCGGGACCTGTTACCGATTACTTCAACCCTGAACTTGGTGTATTCAACTACTTGATGAAATTCGGTACTACTGAACTACTTGGGAATCACACATCAGTTACTTCTCACCATCATTAAGCTGATTTCGCCGTGCTTTATTTCAGTATGTATGAGTAAGAATGGATGTTTGATGTCATTTTGCTCAATTATTAGGAATGGCGTTGACTCTGGATTTTTACCTGTGTTCTTTCGTCAAAGACCAGAGTCTCCATCTATTTATCGATCTTGGTGTTTTGCTATTCTCTAAATAATATCCCTTTATCGTCACTTCTGAATATGTGCTTATGTAATGAGCCTGGAATAGTTTTTATTCACCTGAAAAGTTAGTAGGACTCAGAAGTTTATTGCATATACCAATGATGATTAATATAGATTAAGCATACATACTAGCCGCTTGTTTCTGATATGTTTCTTCATCGAACGATAGATAGTAGTCATCGATCGCAAGTTGTTCATGAGACATTCATGTTACAACATGTATGTAGTACGTGTATGTGCATTTTCCGACGTAGTTTCACTGCTATCTATTCCATCCCCTAGTTACGCGAAAAAGAATTAGTATACATGTTAAGTATATTACATACTGTTGTAAATCATTTACAGCAACACGAATATAAGCCTTTAATTGAGTGTGCAGATATTGAATATCTAATCACGTTATGCGCAAACATTACACTCGTTTTAGTCTAATTAGTAAAGGGAACCAACTTCACGAAATTACCAAGAATCTGCTAACCGGGTAAATAAGTGGTTAGTCAAGCAATGAGATGAATATATATATATATATATATATATATATATATATATATATATATCTTTACTTTGTAGCTCCTCGTATTATAAAGAAGCCTTTGTTATAAGTTTTGTCAATCAACATATTGCAGTACTTATTTCTGCTACTGGTTATCTTTGCAAAATAAATCCTGAAACTTCACATCTACTTAAGTTTAGCTCCAACACAAACATAAGGGGTAACACCGGGAAACTAGAGACATAACACAGCAGAACGAACTGTAGACATGCGACTACAGACACAACATCTACTCCTTAGGAGTTGTTAAATAATAGAATTCGCTGCCGACTGAGCTAGTCCAAGCGACTTCCCATGAGTCCTTTAAGAGATGTGCTAAACATGGGCAAGTCATACCAAGTATCTGTAATCCCAACGTATTTTAATACCTAGTCTCACATATTTTGAGACGTAATTCTCAACTGTAAATTCACTCAGACAAAGCTCTTAACCCTGAGACCGAAAGACACCAGAATCTAACATCGAATCTCACAAAACCTGGTTCCTAACGTTATTGCTTCTTAACTCGGACTTTAATAAACACCATTACTTCAACTACAGCACTCCTTACCTTAACACTCTGTAACCCTAAAATTCATTGACCGTGTAAAACTATACCTAGCCAACGATTTTCAGCGAAAAAATCAGAATAAAATGAGTGACTATAGGTTTCGACCCGCATCTGTAAAATCAGTTGCTATGGCGAGTTAGACTATCTGCCTCTCGTATGGACTTCCAGATTACCCCGACCTGAAGCTTGTGTTGCTGCTGAATATTGTCCACCGTTCCTATGTTCAACGTTAATGACTCGTGTGCGCTTGGTGAGTTTTTGACTCGTCTGTTCTTTTGTTTTTCTCTTTTCCAGCTCTACTCGCTCAAGCTACTCTGAATGCTCAAATACTACACATTGTATCCTCTGGGTAGACGCAAACCATGCAGCTTCAGATGACTTGTTGCTTCTACAGATAATGTTTACGAGACTTAACATTCTAACCAGTTTAGAAAATGATTCAGAAGTACAGCACTTATCACATTAACATGGTTTTATCGTTTTCGAGATGTAGACATATGTAGGTCTTGAACTATATCGGAACGGGCTCACGAATTACCGTAACTAGTTGTTCTTTGGCAAAGCGAGAAGCAGCTGCACTTACATGGTAGTTATCGCTAAAGTTCCGTCTTGTTATTTGAAACATTAACTAATCAGCCTGATGCTTTTCTATATCTGGGAACAGCGTTTCCTAACATTTATGATTACTGAGCTTCAAACCATTATTTTGTGTCCGTTCGTTCAGGAATATGCGGTCATTTGGCGGATCTTGTAAATCCGTTTCACATCTGATGGCTCTTCGTAGTTTAATATCTTGTGGATAGTTAGGCGTTATTGAACTGAAGGTTTTCGAGGGGTCTTAAATGAATATGAGGTACAACAAAGGGTTCAGTATAGTTTCATGTGAAACCTCGGTTTTAAGACCTTACCAGCGTGGTTGCATACTAATATTATTGATCCTGAATCATGAGTCCTCTAGTGAGTTACTTAACTGTAAAAGAAATAGATATGTAGTTGGTTTTGATTTTTTTCGTTACTGTATTAGTTGTTTGGTAAAGTTCCAAAATAATCACCACGCGCTCCCAATGCGGTATAAATTACTTACACTGGATCCCCTAAAAATGTGTCAACAAACGTAAGTATAATGAGTGAGTTCTTTAGTCGTCGTTAAGTCTGCTAAGTTTGGTACACAATGAAATGTTACATACTTGATTGCAACTTCTGTGTGAGAAGTTCCAAGGTTACAAAACGATTCATTTAAAAATCGACGTCTGTTAAGTCTGTAGCGTGGTGTCGAAATGAGCTAGACTATGAACACCGCTACCAGACTACGTGCCAATAGACCAATAAGATTCCAGTAGGCCAAAAATCAGAAGGCAGATGATAGTAGTAGTTGCAATATATTTGTTGGCGATCTCGTGGTATCGAAAGAATACCGAGATCGTGCCAAAGGAGTACAGATGCGATCGGCAAGAAAAGGTGCGTGCGTAGTCGAAAACCGCGTAGAAGGAATGGAATACAATGAAAGACCAAAATGGCTGTTATTAGCATAGTTAAACAAATGAGTACAATAAAACAATCACTGGTACAATTGGTTATAATAATAATTGTTTTCATCGAACCAATCGCGTTCTGTTGACAAAAGTAGGTCACTACAGGAGCCCCCCGGTAGAAAGGGTTTAAACTTTCGATAGGTAGCGGTTTGATTCGTGGGACTGATTGGCAAAAGTGCGGTTGTAGGACGAAAGAATTAGTGAAGCAGGAAGCAATCGTTGATCCTCGAGTTGCCAACGAAGGTCTTTTGCGCAGAACGGTACCAGGAGAAGTGTGCTGTATTTGTTGGTCGAGTTAGCATACCACACCAGAGTGGTTCGTATCCAGGATCTGATGATTGCGTTCGTAGGGATGCGAACCAGAAAACGCTGCAGACGTCGGACGAAACCACGTTGAGCCAAGAAACCAGACGCGACCATGACGACCAAGCGTATGCCAGGCGAATTCGAGACCAGATAATCGACTGAGTGCGTTGACTAGAGCGTGGGTGGCCAAACCAGCTTTTGCCAAAGTTGACTGAAATCGACGTTACCAAACGGGCGATGGTCGGAGGCGTGGGTTCAGGATACAAAAAAAATCAAAAAAAGAAAAGTGTAGCATGCGTGTAGTATAGGAATAGTCCTACACCGTATCTGTTATTGACTGTGCGTTTAGTCGCGAAAGCGTACGAGTAATCGTACTCGGCGACTGGAACGTGAGACGGTGGTCTCGTTCGTACTTCGTGAGCCTGCGATCTCATCCGAGGTCATGGGCGGCGTGGTCTACCGATCTGGACGTGAGACGGAAGTCTCGTCCGTAGATGGCACAGATGACGCGTGCTGTTGACCGGGACGTGAGAACGAGGTCTCTGATGTATCTAGCGTGGGATCCGAGGTAGACGTAGAGATCCCGCTAGAAGGTTTGATGGGTCTAGCATTGAGTCTCAAGTTATCGGGTAGAGCACTGTCATCGACGTGTGCTGGTTTGAGACGATCAATGCTGACGATCTCGACGCGGCCGTGTCGATCAACTTTGAAGGTCTTTTCGTGACGAGAGATCACGTGAGAAGGGCCTTCGTAAGGCTGTTGTAGAGGTTTGCGTACCGAATCTACTCGTATGAAAACATGTGAACAGGTAGATAACTCTCGAGGGAGAGCGACCTGTCAATGTTGTATTCGAGTTGACACCGGAGACAGCGTTCGCATAAATGCAGACAGTCGATGGACGTATTCTGATTTACCGAAATCATTACTGCTCCGTGGTGTGAAGAATTCCCCGGGCAGACGCAATGTCGTGCCGTATACAAGTTCAGCGGCGGAACATTGGATATCTGCATTTAAACTCGTTCTGATGCCTAAGAGAACGAGCGGTAAGGTTTCGTACCAATTGTCGTTTTCGTGTGCTCGAAGAGCACTTTTAAGTTGGCGATGAAACCGTTCGACTAAACCATTCGATGCTGGATGGTAGGCGGTAGTGCGTATGCGTTCCGTACCAAGCAGCCGGGTCAGTGAGGAGAATAATGCGGACTCAAATTGTTGTCCTCGGTCAGTCGTGACAGTCGAGGGACAACCGTACAATGCTATCCATCGTTCTACGAAGCGGTGAGCGACTGTCTCCGCCGTGATAGACGTGATGGGAATAGCTTCGGGCCATCTTGTAAAACGGTCAATGCACGTGAGTATGTGATCATACCCATGCGATGGTGGCAATGATCCTACAATGTCTATATGAACGTGATCAAAGCGAGCATCAGGCGTAGCGAACGTGCCAATGGGGACAGCTACGTGCCTGTGCATTTTTGATCGTTGACACTGTAAACATTGCTTTACCCACATACGGACATCATTATTCATGGACGGCCAGATATATCGTGCAGCAATGAGACGTAATGTGGCTGCGATACCTGGATGAGACAATCCACGTAGGGCATCGAAGACGAGACGGCGATAGGTAGAGGGTACGATGGGTCGAGGAAGACCGGTAGAATTATCACATAGTATAGTACCTGAGCTAGTAGCTAGGGGTACTTCCTGACACTGAAGGGACGAAGATTGTGGTGCTTCTGTACAGACAGGATCGTTTGCTTGCGTGGCGGCCATAGCAGGAAGATCGAGCACCGGTAAGGTAACTGCATTCGTCTGGATACGTGATAGAGCATCGGCAACATAGTTCGACTCGCCTTTAATGTGACGAAGGTCTGTCGTGAACTGTGAGATATAGTCCAAATGTCTGCACTCTCGTGGTGAGTAGCGGTCAGACTTGGTATGCAGGGCATACGTTAAGGGCTTATGGTCGGTGAATAAAATGAATTGACGTCCTTCTACTGCGTGCCGGAAATGTTTGATGGCGCAGTAGGCTGCAAGCAGCTCGCGACCAAAAGCGCTATATCTCGTCTCCGTGGGAGTAAGGCGTCGTGAGTAAAATTCAAGCGGTTGCCAACTACCGGAGATATTCTGTTGCATGACGGCTCCTATAGCGAAATCTGATGCATCAACCGCTATACTAAGCGTGGTTGATGGGTCAGGATGAACGAGAGCCGTTTTGATCTCTGAAAATGCAGTACGTGCGGTATCGTTCAATTCTAATTTGCTTGGATTACCGCGTAGTAAATCGGTTAATGGTCGTAACCGTTCTGCCGCGTGAGGGATAAAACGTCGGTAGAAGTTAACCAAACCGAGAAAAGCCTTCAGTTTCTTGATTGAGGACGACACGTTGTACTCCTTGATTACTCGAACTTTGTCCTCGCAAGGCAGAATACCCTCTTGTCTGATGATGTGACCCAGAAATATTATTTCTGATTTACCCAATTCACATTTCTCTGGGTTGACTACTATTCCACTATCCGAAAGACGTTGGAATAATAGCGTAAGGTGTTGATAATGTTCATCTACGTTTGATGATGCGATCAGCAGGTCATCAATGTAGACGTGAACAAAATCCAAGTCTCGTACTATGCTATCGATAAACCCTTGGAAAGTTTGAGCAGCATTCCGTAATCCAAATGGCATTCGTAGGAACTCAAACAGACCGAAAGGAGTCATGATAGCAGTTTTATCGATATCTTCAAGAGCGACTGGGATCTGGTGATATGCTCGTACCAGATCGATCTTAGAAAAGATAGTCGTGCCCTTGAGCGATGCCGTGATGTCGTGTATGTGGGGGATGGGGTAACTATCAAAGCGCGTAACTACGTTTAATGCCCGGTAGTTGCCGCATGGTCTCCAACTAACCCCATCCTTTTTGCGCATCATATGAAGTGGAGAAGCCCAGGGATTGTGAGAAGGACGAATAATACCAGCAGATAGTAAATTGTCAAACTCACGTTTAGCGAAGGCTAATTTGTCCGGTGCCAGTCGGCGTGGTCTTGCCGTGACTGGTGGTCCGCGGATGGCTATGTGGTGTACCACACGATTGGTCACCGATTTAATCTCCTCGAATGGTTTAGTTATTCTGGGGAATTTCTCGAATAAGGCGTGGAATTTATCGTCACGCGAATAAAAAGTGCCGAGGATTCGGTACGCGTTTGTGTGAGCTTTAAAGCCCATGAATTTACTGTTCGACGAAGTATCGATTAGCTGCAGCCTACGTGAATCGACTAGCGATTCATAGTGCTGTAGGAAATCAACACCTAGTATGGCTGTGGGAAAATCAGCAATGATGAACGTCCACAGATACCGTCGTCGGTTGCCCAGGTTGACTGCGAATTGTCGTGTACCGTGGGTAGGAATGGCTGAGCCATTTGCAGTGCGTAGTCGAAGCATTGTAGCTTGTGACTTGATGCTACCACGTGGTACGACAGAAACTTGGGCACCTGTATCCACTAGGTACCTAGCCTTTGTGCGATAATCGTGCACGTAAAATAAACGGCCAACCTGGGGGGCAGGGCCGGCGAGTACGGCCGCTTTTACTCGCCGGCTTTGGAATTTCCCGCCTTGTGTGAGCACGGGGCTCGACAACGGCGGGCACCAGATCCGAAGGATCGATGGAACCAGCACCAACCCTCACTCGCTTCCGAAGCCGCCTTTTGGCGTGGCTTGGAAGATGCCCTCGTTTGGCGAGTGTTGACGGCTTTTCGAGAGCGTGAGCGGGCTCGAGGGACGTAGGGTTGGGTTACGTTACAACGGTTTCGAAAACTAAGACGTGTGTGAATACACCCGCCCCTGTCACCTTGAGCCGAGGAGTGGCTGCCGTCGATATCGACTTTCGGACGCGACGTTGAGGCAACTACGTAGTTGTCTCGGTTGCTATTCCTAGCTAGAATTTTGTCTGCTGTGATGGCTACCTGTTTCAGTGGTGCGTCCTCGAGCAGGGCCGTAACTGTAGGTTGGATAAATGCTGGTAGAGATTCGAGCCACAGTTCTTTAACGATTTCAGAATCGGCTGTCGTGGGTCCTGCAACAGATTGCAGGCGCGTGAGGTGGTGGCTCGGTTTATCATCACCCAGGAGGTGACGTGCTTATAACGTCCTCAATCGTTCCTCCCTCGATGGGAGGAAATGTCTGAGGATCGCCTCCTTGGGACGATCGTAAACATTGGGCACATTGGAATTGAGGACAACCTCACGGACAGCTACTAAATGGTCTCCCGGTAAACATTCGAGAGCGTAGGCGTAGTTCTGCCGTTGGCTTGTAATATGACGGGTCTCAAATTGAGACTCTATAGCAGCGAACCAAACTTCGGGATCGTGAGGAATAAAAGTTACAGGTCGAAAGTGTATAACCTGTACGTCAGAGTCTATTACCTTAATACTATTCTTATCGTTATCCGTCATGTCAAATATATTATATGTTAAAAATTAATATGAAAATATATGACAGACGTGGATAGATGAGCGATAGACTCACTAAAATTGACTTCCTTGGAAGGTTTTGTTGCGTTTGCCAAGTGGTCGTAGATGTAGGTTCACCAGTTGAAGAAGATTTGACCGAAGTTGAGGCGTGTTCCAATATTTGGCTCACCAAATGTAGCGTGGTGTCGAGTTGAGCTTGACTAAGAACACCGCTACCAGACTACGTGCCAATAGACCAATAAGATTCCGGTAGGCCAAAAATCAGAAGGCAGATGATGGCTGTAGTCGAGATGTATTTGTTGGCAATCTCGTGGTATCGAAAGAATACCGAGATCGTGCCAAAGGAGTACAGATGCGATCGGCAAGAAAAGGTGCGTGCGTAGTCGAAAACCGCGTAGAAGGAATGGAATACAATGGAAGACCAAAATGGCTGTTATTAGCATAGTTAAACAAATGAGTACAATAAAACAATCACTGGTACAATTGGTTATAATAATAATTGTTTTCATCGAACCAATCGCGTTCTGTTGACAAAAGTCGGTCACTACAGGTCTAATTCTTATTTTCGTGTAACTGATTTTACTCAATAAACCACTCTTTGCTTGGAGACGATGTGAAATAAAAAGATATGGGGGAGGATGGTTTATACCCTTCCTCTTGTATAAACATAAATTATGGGACGAGAGAAGCACGCTAAAATGACTGTTTTTCCCCGGTCATAATGGATTATTTTAAAAATATATTACTTATCTAACAATGTTAGGCATTTTGTTTGGAATTACTCTCCATAACTAATTATTATTAGTATTGTTTATCTTTATGTTGCTTTAGCTGCGAGTTATGAGAGGATTTGAATTACCTGAATGTATCGCGTTCAAAATCTTACACTACCAACTTTTAATTTCATTAATCAGATTATCCTAATCTTACGCTTGTATGATCTCCGAATTTCATCGATAAAAAGTATTAATAAATGTTAATTTATTTTATGTGCTTACTAAGTAATCGGCTTACTTATTTTCTCGTTCTTTTCTCTTCCAGATTCTCGCATACTGCATTTAATTCTTCCCCAACACACAAGGTTTTTTTGGACTAAACGGGAACCTTCGGAATACTAAACGTCACATTAAATAACGTAGCATGCGAATATTAAGATTATGTGGTTCTGCAAATCACTGTGCACGGATATCAACACGCAAAACCATTTTCGATGATGTGAAAGAGTCTCGTATTGTTTTTTGTATTGACACTTCTGGAAGTATTTACAAAGTGTGGGATCAGATTTGCTCTCATATTGTCGAACATTTATGCAAGATGGCAATAAACAATAAAGCCTTGTATTTTAATGTTATAACATTCGATGACTATGTAAGCTTTCTTTGTTCATGAACATTTTTGTGAACAGGTTAAACGCTTCCGAACGAAGCTGGTAATAGCTTCTTACATAAACATACAGGAGTTAAATAATTGGTTAAGGAGTGTATGTTTTGGGACTAGCTGTTATATTTTCCCTGCATTATTGGCGTCTTACTCGCATGTGGATGCGGAATGTGTATTACTAGTCACAGACGGTTTATTGACTAAAGTAGGTACTGCATAAATAATGTGTTTCATACATAATTTTACTTACAGGAATTTTATGAAATACAACAATTATCCGCAGTTTGCAACTCACGTCCCCTCTATTTAACTCTTTTAATAAATAATATGAAGCCAAATAACAGAGTTATTGAACTGGCTTCTAAATTATTAATGATGACGTGTTGTTCGAAGAGTAGACTGAATGTTATTACAATTGCTGTGAGTGGATGTTTTGTCCAGATTTCACCGATTGAATGGAGTATCAGAGTTCCTTCAAAACTTTATGGTTGCCCGAATTCATGCTATAAGTTTGTACTCGACAGTCTACACAAATTTTCAAAAGAAACTACAGGTGGAATATGTCCTTTTAAAAATTCACCGACACATAATTTGACATCTCAAGAAGCCATGAAAGGTAAGGTTTGAATCCTGCTACACCACATTTCTAAGATGAATTCTAAAGCTAAATTTTGTGTCATATGCGTCAAGATTTTTTCCGAAGCTTTACTTTTAGCTGATAATGTTAAGGTTCTTCATTATTACGAAGCGCCGATTAGAATTATAGAATTTCTATCCTAAGTTTAGCACCTTATACACAAAAGTAGTGATTGTTAAGTTCATTCTAAACAAGTACTGAACTAAGAAAGTTCCCGTTAATTTATTAATAAAAGTAAAACTCTACACATTATTTACAATCTTCAAAATTAGTTTAAACTCTAAAACTTTAGTAATATATATTTGATTTAGTGTAGTCAGCGGCTTATAAGTGACTGATTTCTACTACTGGTCAGTGGCTGTTAATTAATCATGTGTTATATATTTGATGAGGAGATTTAAAAAAAGTGTTTTGTAAACACTGGTATGTTGTTATCATAATACATAATACAACATTTGTAGTTACATTCGCAACCCGGCCTATATTTTGCTCATCAACTTAATTATCTAGTCGGAAATCAGTTTTTTCTTCCGTATTTTTTAAAACTATAGTAGGGGTAATTCACGTTATATACGGAAATGATAATTACGGAACATTGTAATACAATTTATGTTTCCACTTGTAGTAACATACACTTAAAGCAAGTTGAAATTTAAGGCTTGCAATAAGCTAATCGAATCGTCATTGTTTTCGTACTTTTGAACAAACTATTAGCCTCATAGTATTCGGGAATGCATAAAATCTCTGAGTAAATTTACGTACTGGTCTAATTTAGGTCAGCTCATGACTTGATTGAGATCTAACAATATCCATAAACCACAATATGCAACTGCTCGTTTGCACTTTTCTGAAATTGGCCGTATTTTTCTAGACCTACAGATAATCAGACACGAATTAAGTAGCACGTGGATGAATAACGTATAGGTCCATGCTGGTACAGTTTATACAAGTACAGCAAAAAGAGTTTAAAAGATTTCGCATTAGTATTCCCATTAGTAGGAAATAAAATAAGAAAGAAAACGAAGTGGAAGGAAACAAGGAGTATATGATGATAATGTTTATGATTCAGATAGATGGGTAATGAACACATTAGCAAAATTCCATTCCAATCCTTATCACTTGCTAGTCATTATCCACTAATCGTGGTTATTTCAGTGTAACCTTGCATCACTACTCAACCTAGAATAGCAGTCAATAACTGATGCAATATTTTGGTCTGATATCTCCCGATATTATCTCGTTAGACGTGTTCTCTGTTTAATGTCAAGTTAAGACTACCTAAATTGTGTAACGAAGTTAAATAGGTGTGGCTAACAACTTTCAGTAATTTATAAATGTGAACAAAAATGGATGTCCTTCAGGCTCTAGGAGCTTAAAAGGGACCCCTTGTACAATATATAGTATCTCGTTTGAGTTTATAAATTTATTTTGTGTGTTGTAAAACTGTTTTAACCAGTGGCACACCTCTTTTATCAGATTTGATAATGATGCTAAATGTAGGTAGGTTTATTTGACTTTTTTCGATTTGCCGTAAGTTTGTACCGATGTGTGTAATTGACTTCAGATCTTTCTAAAAAGCTTAAAAGGCAAACATTTCCTGGTACAACGGATTTCTTAATCATCCTAATTCAGTTTTATTTTTGCTATATTCAGTTGTTCATCAACTGAATTAGGGTTTTCATTTATGCGAAGTTGAATGTTTACTGTTTGTCTAATTAGTAGTTTATTAACTTGAGCAGATTATGTATATGTGATTGGTTAATTGAACAACCCCCTTTGTGTACATTTCTGACACAATAAAAATGATTACTCCGCGATCACTGAGTTTTGTACACTTATAATTAGCAAGTAATTTTTTTATTGTAGCTAATAAACGACTGACGAAACAGTAAGTAGATAGCAGAGTTTCTGAATGATGTTTTTATATAATTTTTACTGAAATGGTAATACAGCATACTTGAACCTCTAAGTACATGAGGGTCAAATCCCTTATAATACGCCATATATGTGAGCTACTGTTTGGAGATCGTTGACTGTGGCGTGATCTCCAAATACACTAAACTTACTGTTGTAAGTAAACATAGATTACGTACATGTTTGATAAACATATTCTGATAACTAATAACACATTGGATCTTTAATTCTGAGCATTAAAAGACTTGTGACCAATAGTATTGTTCCACCTCAGTCTCGCCCACATGTTTGAAAAAGACACGGGCAAGGTTCGATTAATAATGATCCCATTTTGTTTTCAAAAGAACGCCAAAATCAAAGACATGGTATGATGATACAAGGAAAATTTATTTACATCCTAATGATTTTGGAAGTGGCGTGTATTCGTCCATAACTCTTTAGTATAAATGCACTACTTTCACCAGAGTTTCTTAGATGAAAATAAAATTACAATGAATGCTTACTCTACAACATTATTCAACTTAACTCATAGTTCAAACGAAACGTTTTCATATTAATTCAGATATTCCCAAAAGTTGAAAGTACTTTGGTATTCTGAAGTGACATTGTATATTTAACACATATTACCGGTTAGTACTTTAGAAAACAACTAAATTCAGTAATCACCTAAAAAATACAATAAGTTTCTAATAGTCTTTAATTCATAATCACATTGATAATTATAGGGTTCTTCAGGAAATAACGATCGGTAAGAGGGAAATTTATGACACGAACATTGACGTAAATATGCCATAAATGTCGCTAACTTAGAAAAACAGTCACAAAAGGAAAGTTTATCGATGAGTCTGTAGTTTGTAGTTTTTCATGTAACCGACATAACGTTAAAAACTATTTTTAATAAGAAAACTATAGATAAAGCACTTGACAACATTTATCAGTTATTTTTCCCATGGACCAGTCATGGATAAAGCGTGTCCTATTAAGTTGTCTAAATTTTCATTTATCTGTGTATAGAGAAACTGCTCCGGTTCTGTCATTCTACGACTTCATTTTGCACATTTACCTGACCAAGTTTGTGTAGATTCTATGTAGTTAAAAGTCGAGTTCCAAGCAATTTTATTTATAATTGTTTCATGTTAGTGGAAGAGCGATATTGTTAACACAGAAATGTTAACGTTCAGTAAGAAGATAGTTTTTAAAAGTTAGTATTCCCGGTTTCTGACAGTTGTATCTGTTCGGACACTTCAAGCATTTTCGATAAATCTATCTCAGTTTAAAGAAATATATTTGTCTGAATCTTGGCGATTGAATCGAATGATTTTAATATTTGATCCGTCAGTCTCGTCCGAGATTCTTCAAGAAAATAATCAATTACAAGTATTGTTTAATACAACGCCACAACACAGCAATGCAATAAGATGTTGAATATATTTTGAATGTTTGTGTTTAAGCGGCATCGTGTGAAGAAATGTATCTACAGATATGCAATTCATATTTGATGGCCGGTAACTACATATATCGTCCTCGGTTATGGTGGGAATGAAATTTGTAATCTTGGCTAACAATCGCAAACTTGTCAGAGTATTTGCAGGTAAAAAAATAAATAGACAGATCATTGTATGAATATTTATGAAGTTATGTTAAAGCAATTAGTCCCTTTTATAAATTTCGATAGAACAATGAGAAGACGGAGTTGATCTGAAAAATGTGATGTATTTGCGCTATACATTTCGAACAATCTGGTCACACATATACTTGTCAGGGCATTTTATATGAAAATTAATAAAGGTCAATTACATGAAAGTTAAAGTACAAACAAAATTACAAAGGGGAGAGAAAGGATAAGAAATTGTCGCATTATCCTAGGCCATAGAATGACTCAAGGATTACCAAGGTAAATTCAAGGTTACGACAAATTGTTTTTGTACACATAAAGGGGGCTTAAATTTACGAATAGCCAAGGCTTCTATAAACTTAAGAATTCGTCCTTGACAATTTCTATACAACGTTTTAAAAGCTGCATTAATATCAATTTTGTGCCCCGTTTCAATTATATGTTTCGCTATCGATGACCCTGGTTTTCTACCACCCACGTTGATCGGATCGTTTGACACACATTGATTTTGAAGCCATTTAGGCACATGTTCATTGACCCTTGATTGCATTGTTCGTTACTCCTCCCTATGTATGTGTCCACACAAACATGTAAATTGGTAAATACAATGGGATGTGACGTAATCATTGGTGCATTGTCTGGGTCTACTAGGGATCATGGCCTTGGACTTTTCAATCACAATCAATTGAGCAGCATAATAGGTGTTCTCGATCGCTGCTTTCAATCTCTGTCTTAAAACTATGCTGTTGGATTCGCCTCTATATGGTAGATTGATATACACTTTTTTCTTTGGAACTGAATAAACAAGGTCTTGGTATTAACTGACTTTTGCACCTATTAATAAACTTTAATGGATAACCATTTGCTATTAATGTGTCAGTCAGGAACTTTTCATCTTTTTCCACCGTGTCAGATGTACAAATCCTTTGAGTTCTTTTAAAGAGACACTTAACCAAGCCTCGCTTGTATTGCAATGGACAAAAACTATGGAAATTTAAGTATTGTCCCGTCCAGGTAGGTTTCCTATACATTGACCGTCTAATAGTACCATCATCCCTTCGACTTAAAAGTATGTCTAAAAAAGCCAATTTGCCATTACTTTCTGCTTCATGTGTCATCACGATATCATCTTGAACACTATTGAGTTTATCCAATAATCCGTAAACGTCAAAGTCTTTAGCACATATAATTAGAATATCGTCCATGTATCTTCTATATAGAGTTACCTCACTAATAAGCTCACTCGTCCTGTTTTCTACATATGACATAAATACATCAGCTAGGAGAGGCCCCAAAGGGCTACCCATAGCTACACCATCAACTTGCCGAAAATATTCACCATCGAACGTGAATTGAACATTAGCAGTACATAACAAAAGTAATTCTTTCAACAATGATAACGGAATAGGAAAAAGGGAAAAATTTTTAGAAATATAGTCACAAAGGAAATCCACCGTCTTTGTTAACGGAAACATCAAAAGAATACAAAGACTTATCTTTAATATTAATGTCCCCAAGAAGATCAATCAGTTCAAATGTATCTTTTAAGGAAAACTTACATAGTTTAATACGAATTGGGTTTAACAATTTTACAAGCCATTTAGCTAGCTCATGTGTGGGTGAACTGCGCATAGATAAAATTGGTCGTAATGGAATATTAGGTTTATGAACTTTAGGTAATCCATATAAATTCGGGAGAGCAGAACCCGAAGGTTTTAATACATTAAACTCCTCAGTGTTTATGACGTTCATTTTAAAAAGCTTTAATAGATTGGATTTCACTCTGGATTCCAATTTTCTAACATTAATATTGGATAAAACGTCCGGCAAGAATTTACTCTCGTCACCCAGTATAGATAGCACTTTTTCTTTATATTCACATTTATTTATAACGACTACTCCTGAACCTTTGTCAGGTCCGAGGATCACAATATCTGACCTACTTCGAAGGTTGTTTAACGCGGCGAAATGTTTAGAAGTTAAAATACTTCTTTGTCTGATTTGAGATCCGTGAAAGTGGTGGGCAACATCAACCGATTTCACCTTTAACCAATTTTTCTTATCTAGGGTGGTTGGGACTAGAGGGTTCAACTGATCATAGAGATTTTCGAATTGAGCGTCTATGGATAGATCAGAAATCTTGGTATGTGCAACAGAGAAATTAAATCCGAGAGATAGGGCTTCTTTTTCAAATACAGAAAGTCTAACACTTGATAAATTTGTTACATATTTATCAGGTTTAAATTGAAATGTATTTCCATCATTATCATCCATAAGAGATTTACTTAGCTTTTGTTTAGTGGTATAATTTGTTTTAGCCACCACTGTACCATTGTATTTACCAATTTACATGTTTGTGTGGACACATACATAGGGAGGAGTAACGAACAATGCAATCAAGGGTCAATGAACATGTGCCTAAATGGCTTCAAAATCAATGTGTGTCAAACGATCCGATCAACGTGGGTGGTAGAAAACCAGGGTCATCGATAGCGAAACATATAATTGAAACGGGGCACAAAATTGATATTAATGCAGCTTTTAAAACGTTGTATAGAAATTGTCAAGGACGAATTCTTAAGTTTATAGAAGCCTTGGCTATTCGTAAATTTAAGCCCCCTTTATGTGTACAAAAACAATTTGTCGTAACCTTGAATTTACCTTGGTAATCCTTGAGTCATTCTATGGCCTAGGATAATGCGACAATTTCTTATCCTTTCTCTCCCCTTTGTAATTTTGTTTGTACTTTAACTTTCATGTAATTGACCTTTATTAATTTTCATATAAAATGCCCTGACAAGTATATGTGTGACCAGATTGTTCGAAATGTATAGCGCAAATACATCACATTTTTCAGATCAACTCCGTCTTCTCATTGTTCTATCGAAGTTATGTTAGCCAAACCAGTTATCACAGTCAATATTGAAACAAGATATTTGATTAAACAAAGAAATGTTGTTGTCCACATCCAGTGACTCAGGAAAGGACATTCAAGTGGCATTTTAGCATGGAGTTGTCCCCATCAACTACAATACTTTATGAAACAGTTCCGTAGTTAACGTATTTTTACGCACTAAGAGATATAATACCAAAAAGAGTTAAATTAACGTTATTAAAAACAACATTATCAAAAATAAACAGTTATTTCGAAAAAGACAGCAAACACAAATAGTTTCTGTTATACTTTAACTAACCGACTGGTCTATCTATTATATATGCTTCAGTCTTATCAAAAAAGCAGTAAAAACCTGTTGAGCAAAGCAACATGAAATATTAAGCGTTTAGATATCTATCAACACTCATCATTAAAGCCTTATCTATGCTGAAATCTTAAGCTTAATAAAGATGATAAACTTATTTGATTTTAATAGAATTAAGAATGGCTTTTGTCATGGGTTAGTATCAGTCTAAGAAGACAAAAAAACCCGTGCAGACATAACCCTTAGTCTGAGACATCTCAGCAGTACCCACTCACAATTTAATATGATTTTCAACGGTAAATTTAGATTTTCTAATATTATGTGATCCAATCTTACTCACTGACCTTGGTAAATTTCTAGTCTATCTTATTCATTAGAAGAGTCATAAAATAGTATCTTTTTAACTGAATATAACTCTTAGGTCATAACTATTTACGTTTCCCAGAGTAACTGATTTATACCGATTACTTGTTGTCATAGTTAAAAATTACACTGTCCTCATAAATATAACGTAATTTATTTTAAAGGTTGTTATTCTTTAAAGAAATACCCATTTTCAAGGATTTTTACCGTTCTACATTTGTTTTTAAAATCAACATGATTGCTTAGCAGCTGATATTTGTTTTCCGCATTGTCATATATATATATATATATATATATATATATATATATATATATATATATATATATATATATAATACAATTTAGAGCTTTCCAGTTTAAACTACTACTTCAGCATGCATATTTAGGTTATAAATTGCTAACATTTTATTTTTATGGTAAATTTGCCTATGTATAAATGTTGTCCTTGCTAACAAATGGAAAACAAGTAATTTATAGGAGTTAACTTTGAAAGATATATTACCTAGCAAAAATACTCAACCATAGCATAATTGGTTTCAAGCCTTATTTTATATCCTGTTCTAATTTTTAACTTTAAAGGACTTTGAGTACGATTGTTCATTTTAGCGAAACTCTTCTCCTCGATAGTCAATCATTTAATCTTTTGTAACCCTTTTTTGTATTAGTTGAGGAATAATTAACCAAGTTTAAAGAAATCGATTGAACGACTCAGTTCAAATCTTACTTCGAATGCCGATTACTCTCGTAGCATAAAATAACACTCTTTTCTTCAGTTTTTAGCATACAAGACCGATTCGCTTTATAGATTAAACCATTTATACACCGAAATAATATTAGAATTATGTATGTGAGTACCTTCAAAGAAGATGAAGTGTTATAGACAAAAAATGAAGAGAGCTTTGAGTAAAATGTAAAATTTCCACGTTGTTATGGTTTATTGAAATAAAAATATTGGTAGATAGGAATATTTGCTCAGAAAACCCCATAACTTAAATTTATCTTTCACTGTTGTTCCAGTCGATTTTTACAGGTGATATTAGTTGAAGAATTATTAAAATCAACATGCATTTGAACAATGTTTCCTCCTATTTTTGAACTTTTCAACTGTGCTAACCCACAAATCTACATAAAAATGGATGCCAAACCTTCATACCTTGGTCTTATGACGATATTACTACAGTTTTCTTATGAAGGTAGGCTTCATTAAGGTAATAAGGTATCATCTAATGAGTAGCATATTTACAAACTTCAGGTAGTACATCTAGACCTTTTAAGCTTCGGAGACAACTGATCAACAATCATGTCTAATATGGCTTAAAATTCATATCAATGACATAGATGTTATTTTTAGTTATTTGTTTCTTTGGTATCTGATCCACAATAATTATGTTGTTAAAAGATTTAAAGACTTTTATCAATGGTCAGTTGTACTTGATCATATTTTTCTATTAATACTCTTTTAGCCAAAACAAATAGAAACAAGATAAGCGAAAACCTCAGTTCTTTTTAGAAGATATGTATTAAGGAATACACACTTCTGCTTAAAACAAATTCCTTTTACATTTATTTATTGCTTAAAGATAGTGCTTGTCAAGTTTCGAACCCTTCAAGTGAAACACTATTAACAGAGAGTTCCATTCACCTCCCTAAGATTAATGAACAGCAAGTTCAAAGAAGTAAACTGCTTGAAATGAATGACTGTCAAACTCAGACAATTTCTGGCACGTCAGAAGAAGTAACTACAACGGATTCAAACCAGTTTATCACCTCTTCATCCCATACAATGTATGGTGAAGGTCATAATCATAACTGTATGTGTAATTCGTGTCTTGCATGTGAATGTTCAGAGGAACATGCTGGTAATAAATTCAAACGAAGCAGATATCGTGTCGCTAGGTAAATACATTTCTTTTTTACAGTTGCAGTTTGTAACAAGTATTTAACGTGATATATATTATCATACTTTGATGAGTATATATTTGCTGAACTAAGTATATTATTTGTTGCGTTCTTTTGCACTCTAGGCAGTTTAACTGTATCACACATAAATATAAGAATACAAAATTCAGAAATCTCAACAATCCTGCATACTAAAAAGCAATCATATACTTACTAGGGACTAAATTCAAATGACTAGTCTCGTGATTAATGCGATTCAAGCACGTTGGGCGTCAGGCAATCAATGTTTGTAAAATATTGTCAGCCATTCGTAGTTAGAAATGCAAAATATTAAATCACAACTAAGCAGTTAAAATATTGTGCACTCACCACGAGGTATGAATACCTTGAGTTTAATCCTAGATTAAATAGTAGGTACGTAAAGCTTCAGGAACCCATTCCAAGAAGAAACGGATGTCTGATTGCCCTTAATTTTCAATGGTCATCCGACTAACCTCACTATTTGATATAAATGTTACGTAAAAGAATTTTATGCTCTTTAAGTGCTTGATATTTTTGACTATTGTTTTTAAATTTTAATTAGTTTTATTGGTCAATCATGAATGGAACTTTCAAGTAACACTATTTACACTTTTAAACTTTTCGGATATTAAAATTTTAAGCTGAAAAACAACTCCAGAGGGACTGCCCTGATATAGACTGGCAACAAGGTTTAGGCCTGAAGAAAATTATTCGTCTTAGTTTTCATGTTATATGAAATATCATATTTCAGTAATACAGTGATTTTTATCGTTCATGATAGATCTTTCATAAATGGTCGCTCACAACTTGATTGGTGGGCTGATGATATTCGAATAGCTCCTTCAGCTGGTGCTTTACTTCTGGGTCATACTGTTTTGGCTCCAAAGTATAACGAGGGTAGTCGGCTATTCATGGGTACTGTACTTTCACAGGTAAATTCTTGCATGTGGTTTAATATTCATTACTTAGATTTAGCATTTAGAATTCCTAGTCTTTGATGAATAGCATCATGTTAAATTCACTAAATTTTAATTTTTCATTTTAAGTTACTCAATACCAGATACCAAGCACTGCAATATTAAGGATGATGGTAATAGTAATGTATTTGTTAAGTACACATTTATGAGCTTAGCTTCAAGGCAAAATTTTCGTGTGAATGCTTTTGATACTACTCGGTTACCCAAACAGAAGTAAGTGAAAAGGGACGCATTTCATGCACAACACTGAAGAAGTCGAATCATTATCACTGTAGAATAATTTTTCATAAATGCGATTCATTTACATGTTAAAATAAGCTAAATGACAAATTGATAGTAAATATATTGTATACTGATATCCCTAGTAGGTTTTCATAGTTTCCTCAAACTAATTGTTTTTATACAATTTATAGGTAGATTACTGCACGTTTATTATCTGCTTTGAAGACCCTAATTCAAAAATAAAACATCGTGAAAATATTCAAGAAACTCATGTACATGAACTACTATCATATCTGGATTTTCATCGTCATCCTGTTGATGCAGGAGATTTTGTTCTTGTACCTCAGTGTATATCTAATTGCGAGGAATTAAATCATTCACAAAAGCATTATCTTATTCCTTATTATGTTGCAAAAGTTTTATCTGGTTATGAATCGCGTTCATCGATTAGAAATGGTAATTTTCATTTTGTGGTGATTATTTTTTATTTTTTATAAGGAAACATTTCACTCATCTGATAAATAACCGTATTAACCTAGAGTGACTTGTCTTCATCTAATTATTGAAACTTTGGTTTAAATGTATAACAGATTTATAGGTAGAGCTATTTTTACTCCGTAATATATACATCGAATCAGTTGCATTCATGTGAGACATTTCGAAACTATACAGTTAAAGTATTCCCTAACAAATAACGTCTTATACGCATAATTGTATACATTTTTCCAGTATGATAAAAAATGAACTGTATCGCCAAACATTTCAACTGAAAACTCACAGGGACAACCAACACATAAATAAATCTTTATCAAACGAATAAAAAGAGGATGAGCGTAATCTATCCTGTTAATAAAATCCTATTAGGTCACTGAAGAATTTGAATATTGAGATAACACATTCCTTATTAAAATACCGAAGTTCAGCTCTAGATCGCATTGATATTCATTGCAACAATGTTCATCAGCCGTCATGTAGAACGGTTACTGTTAAATAGTTATCTAATTTTTCTGTTTGTTTATTTTTCCAGTATATAGGGAAACAATTTTTTTTTCACATAGTTAATAGTGTTGTGGTAATTATGTGGTGTATGATAATTTCATTGTGCCTCTGTGTATCAAAAGTTTACATGAACCGGCTTTTTCATCAGTGCGTTACTAAATGTAATGCCTCAGATTTAACTAGTTGCATTCACTCTACTAAATCTGTGAAAACAATTGGAATAATTTGAACCCGGTCGATAGCATTCAAATTACTTTGAGTAAGAACTAGTAGCTCTAAAATTTTTAAGAATATTTTATCTTTAAAATAATGTTTGGTAGATTTTGTAAAATTACTAACGAGTATTACTTTTATCTCAATGACACTGAGTTTTGCTTGGAAAAATCAAACAAACGTGAATCCATTTTTTGAATAACCACCTGTATTATCATAACTGTCTTAGAACCTCTTTAAGATATATATAAATGAACAATAAGATTTTATTCATGAGTTAGATTCCTCAATAATGTTGATATTTAACTTGTTTGGACTGTTGAGATCTCTTACCTCTATTTTTAGAGAAAATTGCTCACCACGCAGTAAACTGTGATATCGCTCAATAAAGTCATAAGTGTATGTACAGACCATGTTATTGGAGTCCACGAGATAACTGCAATTAGTTATCAGATACCTTGAATGATATGACTCAGATTCAGTCACAATAGTGCACACGCATTCACTCTTTGTGCTTCTCGAGATATTCAGTTTCAGTATTCCTTCGTATATACTTCCAACTTTACCTTTTCAAACCATACTTCCAAATTTCCGTCTTTCTTATTATCAATATCGTTGTCACTACATTGTTTCAATTATTTTGCCATTCATCTTCTTAAACTCATCTCCTTCTGTTAATATGATATGGGAACTTGTGCCAACGCACATATTTGTTGCGCTCTATTCTGTTTTCGACTGATGAAATTGTGAGCTAATCGAAGTTAGGGTACTATTTTATCCTTTTATTTATGTTACTTGTTTTTTATGAGTAGTATCTTTGGACTTCAAAGCATTCTAAAAAAGTCATCGTTTGATCACTGTTAGCAATTGAGTATAAAACGAAGGCATTAATTACATTGTTTTCTTTAGCAAGTAAGACATCTAGTAATAATGTTTCCGTTTCATTGCAAACTAGTTAATTTATTTTTGGGGAGCTCCATAATTTTGAATGGAAGCTTTATCGATAATGTATTCACAACAAACGACGAAAAGTGTGATGTAAGGAAAAATGCATGTCCTTATAAAATTACCACCTATCATATAAGTCTATAAGGAGACAAGAATATGCATCGAAAGTTTACTTTCTTTTGATGTTTTAGTTACAAAATTCCTTAGTTATTTTCTTTCATAAACCATAAATACCAGTGAAAAATTAAAAAAACTTAGAATATCACTTCATATGTCATAGCTTTATATAAGCAGCTTTGTTTATGGATAAACTCCTAATCTAATTTTTGAGCGAATTTAATCATTTAAATTTTTATTAATTTTTCATAGTGGCATCAAAGTAGTATATGGATGACACTGAATGGTTCTAAAGTGACCACGAGAAATCTCGAATTCAGTCTACGAATTAGAATTAACAGTTAGGATAAGAAATTATGGTTAGGGTTTTCATCATGAACCGACATGAACTGTAATAGTATAATGCTTTTATAAACATATAAATGAATAAATTGTTCACAAAACCCTTTAGGCGTTATTTTAATTTAATTGCTTCATCCATATGCTTTAGTTCCACCTATTTTGTAAGTTAGGATATCAATTGTTTAATATTTTAATCCATTTTCTATTGCATAAGAATAACATATTGTATTTTTGATTTTCTTAAATGTATTTTGGGATTCACAGTGTCAGATAAGCCTGTAATAGTAGAATTTGTCAAACAAGGAAATAGTGAAACAATTCCAAGAACCAATTTTAAAATTCCATTCAACACTGCTATATGGATACCTAATGATTTATTTCAAAAGAATTTCTTATCAAGTAAAATCCAGTGGAAATTTACTTCCACCGAAGAATCAAACATTTCGGATGCACAAACAGGTACTTTCCCAAATGGTACTAACACTTCTACATTAACAAACAGTGCAGAAGTACCAAACACTGGAATGGTCAAATCAAATGAAAATATCTTACGACCGTTCAATCAGTTAGCTCCATTTCCCGTTGGTGGTGTTATTAGCAAAAACAACTGCACTAATAATAACACTAATAATGATAATGGAAAAACGAAGATGAATTATGCATATACTAAAGATCAATTGGATCAGCTGAAGAGTGAATTTATTGATTCAGATTATGCTTCAAGTATGGACGAAGGTGGTAGCAGTAGTAATCATCAAAGAAAGAAAAGCTGCAAGTCAGAGTCAAATATCTTGTCTGAAGCATTTCATGATTTTCATTCAGATATTGCAAGTCGATTTGTAGAGAGAAAAAGCTGTGAAGATGAACAAATTCGACGTCCTATCAACGTTGAAGGTACGAATTTATATATATATATATATATATATATATATATATATATATATATATATATATATATATATATATATATATGAGCTTTTTGGATTAGCCAATGCTTGTCACCTGCAACACAAACAAAAATATCGATATGTCTATTTAAAATCCAGCACACTATGCAACAATTATCTCTATATCACTTTATGGTTATAAAGCATGTTCTATGGAGATAGAAGACAAGTCTAGTTTACTAATATTTGGTGTAATCAAAGTATTGCTCGCGCTTGGTGAAGTGACCTAATGACTAATACATTACTTTTAGAGTACTAGATAAACATGGCAAATAGATTGATGGGTGTTCTAACACCCCTATACTGAGCTGATTTTAATATCTTTTATTCGTAACTAGTTACCGTCTTCATAATACCAGATGCCTAGCCAGTACATGAGTAGACTAGAGTATAGTTGAGGAATGGAAATCCAAGAGATAGCATTAATCGCTGATGTCGCTGACTGTTGAATTGAGATTTACTAAGAGATTTGGACTTGCTGGTTGATTGTAGACCTTAACTGATATGTCTCAAAGTCTGTAACAATGAGGGGGGATGTTTTCATTCCTGACTAATAATTCTCAAATTTAAGTATCATTCCATACTCATCATTTCTAAATTTCATTATTATGGTTATCACTTAATTCTCAATCGCATAATCATTTCGACTTCTCTGTGTTCATTTCCTCTCACTGCGCTGATATACATAGAGTGTGGCAACTTGTATCAAAGCATATTTGAGTGAGTTATTTCGTCTTCTCACCATTGATGGGTTAAGAGGAAAACAGCTTATCCCTTTTAATGTGAAAATTATGTTTGAGATAATCTCAGTGATTGAGATAATCGTGTTAGTCTGTAGGAGATTACATCATGAAGTTATTCATTGTCTCTTCATACTGTTATGTGGAAAATTAATTATCGTATTTCTGACCCGGAAATTACTCTTAACCCCCCATTTATCTTCAACTTATCGATCATCACTCAACCATCTTTAATTTTTGAAATTACTTCGTCGAAATCGGTTGGATTTTATTTTTATTCAATTGCACAGTGTGTTACTTTAATAAAAACTAACTAATAATCCAAATGGTTAAACATGAACATCAAAGTAGAACTGTTTCATTGAAATCATGAACCAATCAGTGTTAGACCACCATTAAAATTCTGAAAGCGCTGGACGGTCCTTTCGTCCGAGTACAGGACTCCCCAGCAGCGCTCATCCACGTCCTCACAATCGGGGATAGAACCCAGGGCCTTCGGTCTCTCGCGCGAACTTTTAATCTCTAAACTACAGAGCCGTTATCCAACGGTGTTAATGTCTTACTTCAGTCAATCGATGGTATTGTGTGACCATCTTTCAGATTTTGAATGATAATCTAACAGTGATAGATTCATGATTTCGATAAAACTAAGCAATTTTCACAACCCTACACTGAAAATAAAAGTGGATCAAAATCCAAATGTATAGACTAACAAATACAGCCGAAAATAAGAGAAATGTTAAATAATTTGTCATGGTCCAGGATCCGTATAAAGGGAAACTGAAATACAAAATTGAAAACATTACAAACAATTAATATTCAACCAATTAATCAGTCACTCAAGTGAACAATAAAAAAGGAAAGTAAACAAATTATCCAATTGTTATTTTAGATTTCAATCAACATTCATTTCCCTCTTTACTGATTTTGACATATTTGAAAGAAAAGCATTTATCGCAGTTCTGTTGAGACAAGAAATACTTTATCACCGACTTTCACGCATACACACAACAGATAGCTTTTATTTTTAAATCTAACTCGTGTGGTTGTCAGGTATCCTCATTTTCGTTTACTTGATTAACTTAAAGTATTTTATCATTCCTTTAACTACTATCTCTTCTGTTATTTTTGTAATTATTTTAATGTGGATTTCACGCTAATTCATGAATAAATAAGTTTTTAATAGTAATACTGATTACATCGGTAAAAACCGTAATGATAGTGATAAAAATTATGCCAGACTAGAAAGTGAAGTAAGTGAATTCACCTTTCCATAGAAAACCAAATGAATTATGTGAAATTATGTAATTTGTGGATATTGAAAAATGACTGAACCGACTTCGATGGAACCATTAAAAAGTCAAGGATTGATCAGCACTTGTTTAATTTTAGTTTGATACAAACCATTTCACTACTGTTATCGTGATTAATATGATACAATTCAGATATTCTTGACTCCGGTCAATTTTCGTCTACCATTCATCAGTGACTTATTTAATTCCATCACCTTAAACCTGTTCACTTTTAATTACATGATTGAATAATTTATTCAGTTTATGGATCTGTTAATTTTCCAATCCATACTCACTTCTGATCATTGGAATTGATGTTTAGGCAAGGAAGAGTACAGTACATTGATTTCATTATCAGTCAGTCAAAAAAAGAATAGAGCGCAACAAATATGTGCGTTGGCACAAGTTCCCATACCATATTAACAGAAGGAGATGAGTTTAAGAAGATGAATGGCAAAATAATTGAAACAATGTAGTGACAACGATATTGATAATAAGAAAGACGGAAATTTGGAAGTATGGTTTGAAAAGGTAAAGTTGGAAGTATATACGAAGGAATACTGAAACTGAATATCTCGAGAAGCACAAAGAGTGAATGCGTGTGCACTATTGTGACTGAATCTGAGTCATATCATTCAAGGTATCTGATAACTAATTGCAGTTATCTCGTGAACTCCAACCATGGAGACTGTGCATAGCCACACAGCCAAGATATTCAATCAATAAGTTCGTGGACGGACGTCACGTTTTGGTTACATCTCAGTCTGAAGATATTTCTGCTTCTCACTAACTAATATTCTTTCCTTTTATTAGCCTGCAGAATATACAACCAGACGAAAGATGTTGCAACATATATAGATCCAGAACTACAATATGGTAAAATGTATATTAAATGGGTTAAAGATCAAGTTAGGCCTATGAATCGTCCAGAATGGCGGTACTGGGGGGCTAAGCCTATACCACAACTAACTGCACCTCCAACGTTTGAACCTTTCAAAGATACAGCTGCCTGGAGTAGGTCAGATCGTTTAAAAACTACAGGTAAGTTAATTTCATTTGTTATAGAGCTTTCTTTGTTTGTATTCAAACCAAATAATGTTAGCAAAATGTTTATAATATCTACCTTCTATATGTTGATTAACTAATACTAAATGTGATTTTATGTTGTTTAATTTTCTATGATACATATAAATATTCTGTTTATTAGTAGGGGAACGTTCTATAAAAAATTAGGTACCTTAACTATTCTAGACAATGGAATCTTTTTTTTTAAAAAAAATATAAGTTACTAATTAACTATAATATATTAAATATGTGAGAAGACACAATTACTAATTTAGTTGTCTTTTATATAAGCGGAATAATCAAAGTTACTTTTGTCATCAATATTTGTCGTAATTGTAAGTATAAAAAATATGTAATAATAAACTGATAATTAACAGAAAAAACAAACAACCAAATCTGATCATTAGAGTTAATGCTGAAATAAATTAATTAATTAGAAAAGAATTGAATTCCCTTTTTGTTAATGCTAACTGTAGTTTTTCATAAAATCCTAATGGTTTTCATAGTTGTGCTATTTCAAAGTAATGAGTATTAGAGTGAACAATAGTACTTCATAACTTCTTTATCAGGCTCTACCGTTATAAACTAAAAATTATTATTATTATTAAGTTAAAACATGTTTTGTAAATTGAAAATGCTAAACTTCTCATTGATTAAATCTTGAAGGCTATAAATTGCTCATAATGTAAAATAGCTTCATTGATAATGTCATACATAAAGAATATGATAAATTATCTGCCTTAATTAAAATGATAGTGAAAATTCTCATTTCGACATTTGATCAATAAAGAAAGAACGAATCTAGCGAAGAAATTACACAATGATATTTCGATCATAAATTACTCAATGTTAATTTATAATTGAAATGTCACTATGTAATTATTACGTAACGCATCCACTCGACGAGTATTACCTCATTATTGTGAATCATATATATATATATATATATATATATATATATATATATATATATATATATATATATATATATATATATATATATATATATATATATATATATTAGTGTAGAACCATGATGTAAAACTAATAGAAAAGAAATTTCTTCGCTCGATTCGTTCCTTCTTTAAAGTGATAAGTTCTAATCGATAAAATAAAACTGTATGTAAGAAGAAGGGAATATAAAATAGGAATTAGTGTCTCAGTTGTTAAGATAATAAAAATAATAATGATATTGAGAGTAATTATTGGTAAGAATATCATATAAATTAAGAGAGATGAATAAATAAAATGTCTTTGAAGTTAGTATATAAGTCATATTGAAGGTGAAATGATTTTGACATCATATTTATACACTATTGATCTGATGGTCAGTATTGTTGCTGCAAACGAAACGACGCCACGTCATATTGATCTATAAATTCCATGTTACTATGTAATACTCTTTTTAAATATTACACTTAACTTTCAATGTAGAAGTTAATCAGTGGATTTTTAATGCCATTTCAACTACGTACAATTAGAGTTTATTGTTAACAAATAGCATATACTATAACAAAATACAATGAGTAGGTAGGGCTTTGAAGTCATCGTCTTTTTCCAGTTAGGTTCATTGATAAACAGTTAAGTGATATTAATGACTTTTCTCATTTGAATCTTAATTAGATCAACTTGTATATGAACATTAATAGTCATAAATGATTAGATACATTGTGTAAACTTTGTTATGAGTGAACTTTACATAGATTATTAAGCAGGTCAATTAGATCTTTTTCTATGATATTAGATGAATCAAATTTTGTAAAAAGTATGTACGTAGAGATTGTTGCTTGAAGCGCAAAATATTAGTGATTTAAGTAGCATCGTTAATTTATAAAAATAATTCAGACATCTAGATATCGGTATTTTAAAATGTAATTAAGTTATCATTTACACTATTAAGTACGAGAAACTGTAAACGTCAGTTACTACGTCGTGATGAATTTGCATAACAATATGAGTATTTATAATTTCACAATACATATTACGAATGTAATTACTGCATTAAACGTATTTAGTAAATTATAATAACTATAATGATTTGATAAGAATTGTTGGACGAAACACTCCAAAATAATAAGGTACTGACTTCATGAGAGACACTTTCAGGGATTGAAATTAAAATGATTATTTGTAGGGACTGAAAATATGTCAACAAACGGTTTACAGATTACAGAATATATAATAAAAGAGTTAACTAAATATCTTTATAGAATGTTATTTTAGCGTTATCTCAAAGTTTGCTGTTCATTTGAATTACTAATTCGGATATCTAATCGTACAATCTAATTAGAAAGTATTCAAAAGAATCTACTCGATTCATACATCTGTGTTATAAAGCATATAATTAAAAGCTAAGTTAGTTTAGCGATCAAATATTCTCTCAATTGCATGTTTAAAACATTTATAAGAAAAGTTATTTCAAATATAGTTGAACAAAGTAACGTATTACTATTGTCATCATCAATTAATCATTTCTTATTTTTAACTTGAATCGCTTTCCATTTGTCTTCACTAATTTGTGGTTTTCACTAACTAAATCCTTTCATTTATGTAGACTCCGTAAATGTTGTATAATGATTACACAACATATCGAATTTTGAAATCTGGATAATCACTACCTCATCACATATTTTCGTTACAAGCCCATCTAATTACTCGATTGGTGTCTATATATCACACAAAGAAATTAGAAGTATTGTAAAAATTTAATTAAAACCTTTTATCAAATTAAACATTCAAATAAGGACAAAGGACACCATTTTCCATAAATTTGATGAATCCGATGTGTGACGGATAATCACTTTCTTAGAGACATTTTTGTTTGAAACCAGTGGCAACTGTACAGGAACAAATACAACACAACGTAGAAAAGAGGATTTTCGATTTGTACATATTCATAACCCTATGGGTGGCCTTAACAAAATTGGTCTTTATCTGCATAAGTAGCTAAGCGTGTGGCAGAAAAGCTTGAATCCATTTTTCTTTTTCGCCAATCGGTTACAGTTCCAAGATAACAGAAAGAGGCGGAACTTTACCTCTGAATGGTATTCAAATACAGATGGAATCTAGAAATGGTACTAATATACTATAGACATTTCTACGATTCAACATTATTAGTGCACTTTAAGAAACAGTTGAAACGTTCTTCAAAGAAAGTATGTTCACATGATGTGAAATTACGATCTGCAGGACGTTATGTTTGATGCAAATTCTGCAAAAACTATGGTAAGCTACCGGGAAGTTAGCAGATAACACACTGTTTATGCTAGGGCGGCCGTCACTAAGGTGACAGACAAAACTTTGTACCAGCAAAATACTAAAAATATTCTATTCACGTTGGCATTTTGGCTGCTTGCAAATGTGAATGCTACTGACACAACTGGCGAAGTAGTATTCTTTCTTTGTTATACTTGTAGGTAACTTTACTATTTGTGGCATCTGAAAAACAACTAGCAATGTTTCTCTCATACTGTAATAAGAAATGGTGCTCGGGTTTACTGTTTGCATTACTGTGCGTCTGTGCTTCGCCTTCGGACTCGAAGATATGTACTCCAGATGTTTGAAGACTTCCTATTTGGTAGAAGTAATCATGAAAGTTAAATGGATTTGATAGTTCGACAATTTAAACACTTGGCGATACATAATAGCGATATTCTGGAACTACTTTTATGATTTATCTAGTGGGAGAGGATGAAACGATAAATCAAAACACAATCTCAAATCTTTAAAAATTTAATTCTCGTTGACTACACATCGTTGAAGGTAAACAGAAAGGTTGTGTCTAGCTTTTGTATATACATACGTTGGATTTCTTTGGATTGAAATCAATTGCTTCATCTATGCAGAGTAAACGTAATCTTACTCCTTTTAATTGATCATTAGGAACCTGATGTCATATCAGAAGTTAATTTAGTGGGAAAGATCAACAATGTTGGTAGATTTCGTGACACCTTTTCCTGTTTCAGCTTTATTTCACCTAACAAAGTTTTTTTTCAAGTACCTTATTCAATTAATTCTCATATATTCAATATATACTATGTATAAGTTTGCTAAATAAAATTTCCCAAATATTTGATAATATAAATTATACGCATGATATTTGGTGGTTTATTATTTGTTTAGAACTGTTAAACTTTCCCAACAACTTACTGTTTTTCACAAGACTAACTGATTCTGTCTATTTACCTTTATCAATTAAAACAATATCAAAGATAATAATATACTCAAATAACTTGGAATGTAAACTGTCGAAGTATTCAGTTACTCATTCGAGCTCAACTATCTGATATCTTCGCAATTCAACAGCAAAGAAGAACTTCTCTCTTTTAAGCGTAAGAAAAAGAGATAATCGATTGTTGTACAACAATTAAGTAAAACATTTCTTCTGGTGCAAATGAAAATGAAGTGTGTCGTTATTCAATATCTCCAACCGTAGGTCATTATTGACGTTATACTTCTGTGGACGCTACTCACAAGACTGCTTGTAAGAAGTATGTTGCAAAACGTGGCCTCTAAGTTGTCAGACAGAATGAAGAGTTAGCAGAACACTTGGAGACTAGACAAAAAGACAGTTCAGCTTGCCGAATCCACCGAAAGATGCAAATGGGTGAATAAAGGCTGTGCATATGTATTATGTAAATGCTATGTCACTTCTCGCAACAAATATACATTCCTTCTACCTATTACCTTATTTAACAATACTACTGTTGGATAGTGAATCAGTCAGCTAAATATTTCCCTAGGTTTTGATAGAATAATTTAACGTACATATTAAATGCTATATTCAGATTAGATTTAAATAACACTTTTAAGTAGCTTAACGTCCTAGAAATGTATTATATTCAACTTTAACCTCAGCAATCTCAATCGGGCTTTGTCAAGGACATAATCAAACTAGAAATAACTCAAGGCTAATTAACACATTTTCAGGGAGAAATGACGATCAATAGTTTTGAGGTGCTTATATATCGTCATTTTTATTTTAAAAATATTTTTATTTTCCACTGAAAACTATAAGATTAAGCGTGGTATAACTAAATCTTCTTATTCAAATTAACATTTCTCTAATTAGCCAATATATACTTGATCGGTTAATGATGTTACTAATTTACGTTGTTTTTACCACTTTATAAGGTAATATTCTACGACCAGAGATTCACTTCAATAAATCTCCATCTAATCGAAAATCAACTGATCATTACAATTCAAGAAACGTAGGGTTATGGTTGATGGACTCTTCACTTTCGAATAAGGGTATATTGAAAAAGCAATACTCAAGGTTAGATGTGTTTTGATCGTTATCTAACTATCTATTTGTGAGCTATGTATTTTCAAGTCGTCTGGAAAATCTGATTATTGTTGAGATATTCATAATTGAATTCATTAAATAAAATTCTAGAATGCGATAAACTTAAGAAGAATTAAGATAAATGTTATACAGCGTGATTGACTCGTGAATTTTTTAGACAAAATGTCACAATAGCAATATTATAATTTCAGGTAATTTATGATGGGTAAAATTATAGAGAGAAGTGGAGATATTTCAAAATGAGCTTTACTCACAAACTGAAATCAACTAAGAAATCGCAAAACACCGATTGACAATGATTATCTGCTTAAACCTAGTTAGGGCTGTCCAGTGCTTCCAGGTTTCCAACGGTGATCTAGCTTAGATCGACTCGTGAATTCAACTGTGAAAATATTACAATCACCAATAAGACCCAGACTGTGGTCTGGTTTTACAGCTAACGATGAATCTCAAGGGTATGATAAATATTGAAAGAACTATGATTAGTTTATGTATTATAGAAATATGTGCTCAATATGTACAAGTGCACACCATTTTATGCCCAACCATTTAAGGATATAGCATGGTGGAAACAGATTATCTCTGACCGGGAACACTCTCGAATTTGAATCTAAACTGGTAATAAAGTGGTTGCTGGAGCTCGTCATTATTACTGAAAAAGAAACCGCTACACTGTTTATTGACTTCCACATCCATCTTAAAACATTAGTGATAACGGATTATACCATTTCTAAAATTACTAGTATTATCGGGCAGCAAGTTTTAGGTGTGTAAAATGGGGAGTAGTGGACAGTTGTTTATTATTGCGGGGGTGGGTGTCATTCGCTCGGAATGATACGTAATGTACACGCGTTTTTATTCACATCCTCTCCCGCATTAATAAATGGCCGTTCAGTAGCGTACGACCGCAAAAAGTGCACTTACATTTAATAAAGAAAGCAATGAATAACAACCGGTAATAACACAAGCCTATTACTATGAAAATCTGGAAATCGGAACTAGAATTGGACAACGTAAGGTTTTAATCCTGTTACACCTTGGACTCCATAAACTTGTCGCCCAATAATACTAGTAATTTTAGAAATGGTATAATCCGTTATCACTAATGTTTTAAGATGGATGTGGAAGTCAATAAACAGTGTAGCGGTTTCTTTTTCAGTAATAATGACGAGCTCCAGCAACCACTTTATTACCAGTTTAGATTCAAATTCGAGAGTGTTCCCGGTCAGAGATAATCTGTTTCCACCATGCTATATCCTTAAATGGTTGGGCATAAAATGGTGTGCACTTGTACATATTGAGCACATATTTCTATAATACATAAACTAATCATAGTTCTTTCAATATTTATCATACCCTTGAGATTCATCGTTAGCTGTAAAACCAGACCACAGTCTGGGTCTTATTGGTGATTGTAATATTTTCACAGTTGAATTCACGAGTCGATCTAAGCTAGATCACCATTGGGCCGTTCAGTGCTTCCAGGTTTTGATTGGTGGTCTAGTTTAGATCGATTCATGAATTTAACGGTGAAAAACCACAGTCGTTTCAGTATCAGCCTATTTTCCGGTCATAAAACCTAGTACATCTAATCATAAAATGGCTTTTTCCCAACTTATGGGCTTCAGTGAATTACCATGTCTCAATCATCATTTCAGTTAAAAGCCTTACTGCTTCTTTAATATCACCAGCGTTGAAGTTATTGGTCCCATTGAGTTAGCCCTTTATTTACTTTCGTTTTTATGGACTGGACAGTGACTGTGAAAACTGAAATATTGTCCCGTTTATGTAGGGTTTCTATTTACCATCCGTATGAAGAAAAAATCATCTCTTCTACTAATTAGTATATCTAAGAAAAGAAACTGATTATTCGTCTCCTTCACACATGTAACACTAACATAATTTTGAGGTACATCGCATTCTTTCAACAAGCTGTTCGCATCTTCACGTTTGCTATTCATGATTATTATGTCATCCAGGTACCGCTTTTAAAATCAATTTTCTTTAACTGAGTTCCAGACTACCATACTGATGTATACACTAAACATAGGTTAGCGGTGGCTCTAAAGGACTACCCATATTTGCACCATCAATCTGTCGAAAATGCTTCATTTAAAGGTGAATTTAACAGTTTTTAAGGGAAATAACAAAGAAAAATCACTTAATCAGATGTAGTCACATGGAATATTAATTGTTTTCCTAAGAGTCATATCTATGTACAGAGGATTTACATGAAGGGTTTACACTGTCTCATTCTTGAAATTAATATGCTATCATGTAATCGCTTCTTTCAAATGGATCATTCAAAAAATGCTTGCGAAATCGGTTTCGAGTAGTGTTCAGTAGTTCTGTCAACCTTTTTGGTGATATTATGTGTGGGTGATCAAAGATATAAATACAAGCAGACTTAAAGGGGTTATTATACTTGTCTATATAAATAAGGATACACTTAATGCGCAGGTTTTAGTAAGTTAAACTCTTCTTTAGTAATCCCTTAACAATTAAACCGTTTAAATCAGAGAACACAACACAATGAAAGTGATTTATTATTATCAAAACCGAAAGTTTTTTCTCCGTAGTAAGTTTTGTAAAATAATATGATGATATTTGAATACAGAAAAGTAACTAAATTTGTTATCTAAACAGCTGACTGATTTGATTACGCAGCTATTTGAAATAATCAAAAATTAAGAATATTTGAGCGAACAATTGTTTTCAATAACTTCATCATCAGGCTCTACAGTTATAAGTCCATAATTATTGTGATATTTTACAAAGGCCAAAAATAAGGCATGTATTAATGAAATTTGACAATGTTATGTGTTAAAAAATTGGTGCACTTTTGCATCTGTTACGATATATATATATACTTCAAAATGGTATTATTTGCAAATTAGAAAGGTCATTTAATAAAGGTCAAGCTGATTTGGAGTAGTGTTCAATCGAAATAAGTAGAATAGTATTATAGCAAAATCGAAAAACAAAATTGTGTGAATAGAATGCATAGTAAGAGAATTTCATCTTGTCAATTGAGATAATAATAATAAGATTGTGGTGTGAATATAATATGTAATAAGGGGGTAGGGATAATCAAAATTAATGATAATAAGGAAAATAAATAAAATTAGAGGAAGGGGGTAAGAGGTTTAAAATATTCAGACTAGGTATTCGGTGATCCAGTCATAGGCCAAGGTAAACATAGAGGCTGGATATATTTTTTCTGGATACATAAATTAGGTCTTCTAGAGTTGATCCAGATGGCTTCGGCTATGTAAAGTAGACGTAATCTAGCTCCTTGAGGTAGATATTTTGGAACTTGATATAAAACAGAGAAAGCTTCCTCTATTTTGATATGATGTTCATTATCTACCAAGTGTGAAAGAATAGCACTAAATCTATTCTACTTATTTCGATTGAACACTACTCCAAATCAGCTTGACCTTTATTAAATGACCTTTCTAATTTGCAAATAATACCATTTTGAAGTATATATATATATCGTAACAGATGCAAAAGTGCACCAATTTTTTAACACATAACATTGTCAAATTTCATTAATACATGCCTTATTTTTGGCCTTTGTAAAATATCACAATAATTATGGACTTATAACTGTAGAGCCTGATGATGAAGTTATTGAAAACAATTGTTCGCTCAAATATTCTTAATTTTTGAATATTCTATGGGGATTTTTAAACTATTTGAAATAAGTTTACTATGAATGTCTAATAATGATTCCATCTAACATAATCATTACTTACAAGTTTTACTGAACTTAAATAATTCACTTTTTTTCCACAAATTCTTTGATATATTCTATTAGTTGTTCTAGCTTACCGAGATTAAACAATAACCGAAATGTTGGTAGTAATAGCAGTAGTAGTAAGGATATAAATCGAAACACTATGGACAGTATTCGAAATCTAATGGATTATGACAGTGTGTGCCATTCATTACATGATAATCATCAGTTGCATATTGCTGGGTGTGACAATCAAACTAAACGAGCCGATTTTCCTGTGAGTTATTTATGTTTTCATTTAAATACTATTAAATAATTAGATTTTATAGAACTTCGTGTTAATCAAATTAATTACTAATTTTTGGACATATTTTCTTTGTTTTATTCTGGATAAATTAAGAGGTATATGAAATTAATCGGCTGATAATCATTGTATTTTCCACTCAGAGCCTTGTTTCAATTAAAAATAATTCTATCTAGGAATGAATAAAATATTTAGTCTGCGAAATTCAGTAACTCTTGGCATGAATTCAGAAAGCACAGTTTGGCTTCATTAACTTGAATCAATTGTGTCTGAGGCGAGATGTTTGTTTGTCAACTAAAGGATGTGTGTACTGCTCAACAACCCATTCAGTATTATTTTATGACCGTGAAACATAGTAATAGATAAGCCTAGGCTTCTGATTTTTGAACATATATGACTTCGAAGCATTGGTCATGCTTCGTTGGACGACCGAACGAGCAGTTTTGAGGTTAGGCATAGGGCACTAGCGAGCCACTGAATAGGCTGATCAAGTTGCGAACCTTCATCACCTGAGGTGGTTGGAACATGTATTAGGTATGCCTAAATACCTTTTAGCTCGACAAGCGATACTTGCTGGTCCAGAAGCAAGTTGAAAAAAATGCTAACAGCGATCAAAACAAAAAATGACATAATTTCATGAAGCCGTTGATAATGAGACTGAGCCATGTTAATAATTGCAGACTAATAAGTTAGGATTCGCTCTATTTCTAAGACCGACCGTTGAAGACTTTGGATGATATAGGTACAAATCAATCAGAATGGCTTAAATAATCTCACTCTGTCTTCTCTTGGTTGTCGAAACCTGAAATTATCTTACACTTTTCTGATCCACCTATTTATTCTTTCTTTCAAAACCATGCCTAATCTTTTGTACAGCAAGAGATGATAAGGTGTGGTAACTTGGGCTGATGCATATATACTTCAGGTTCTAGGTTGCACATAACTGACTACCTAAAGTATCCTCAGCAGCACAGACGGTCCCAGACAGAAATGAACCGATAAACTTTGGTAAATAAATAACATATTTGTAATATCCCAATGAGTAGAAAAATTAGATTTTCTGACGTTTCATGACTTAGTGTAAGCCACTTCTTCAGAGAATAAATAAATAACCAAATCAAAATTAATCCAAGTTTAAATAGTACAAACGGAAGTACAAGAATATATATAAGCCTTGGGTTTTGCGGTATGAACGATTCGTACAAACCACTAAACCAAAAGCCAATAGAACTTAATTTTAATAAACAATTTATTTGACAAGTCACAGTTACTCACCGTTGAGCTTATGATCATTTCATCTATTCTATCCGTTGACTGAATACTTTTTTACTTTCCTCTCTTTTATCATGGAGTCCTAACTCAATAGTCGATTATTCTATATGGAATCTTTTTAAAAATAAAACCCATGGGTTTTGTACCTCAAATAATTATTAGCTGTATTATTAGTTTCACAAGTGATATTCTTTGAACAAGAGATGTGGTGTAGATAATTCCACTAATACAGAACTCTCAGTGGTAGAATGAAAATGAATAAACTTACTAACTACAAAAATTAAGATTCAAATAATATACAGTAAATATGTAACATTTGGACTCTCCAACAAATTATGGACTATTTAAAGAAGTACTATATAATGCATAGAATTATGTATATTCTTAGTATCAGGTCCCTTTAATAATCTTACCTGGGATCAGGACTATTAATAACTAACATAGTTCGTAAAATAAACTTTCATAGAATAATTTTAGTATTGATTTTTTGTACTATAATGTTTGCTTTTCTCAAATTGATATTTCTAAATCAAATTATATTTAATGTTCATTCTCTAAATAATACCATTTATTCTCATTTAATGAATAAAACTGTCATTTAGTAAATGTCTATTATATTAACTGGAATCAATAGTTATAAAATGCAATAGAACTAAACAGAGATGGATGATAGTAAGCAGTGAAATCCAGGAGGTGCTTTTCGTTCCAAACGCAGTCTAAACATCAAACAACCAATAAAAAAAATGAATGTAATAAGATTAGATCGTGTTTAATATGATGTTTTTCATTGGAACTTAATTTAATATGAACTTATTATCCCATCTAATTAATTAATTAATTTCATTAATTGCAGGCAAGAATTCGACCTAAATTAAATCTTCATTAACATCGAAAATCATTCCTCACAGTTTTTAATATTCAGTAAGTTAGTAAAAATGTTATAATTCATTTTATCTCGAGACGGAATAATAATAGCATTCGTAAAATTACTGGTCAGTCGGTTGGTCGTATTCAACTGGGAACGTGTCGCAAATTTGAATTCGTCTAATTTCCACATCTTACATCAAAACAAATAAAAGATTGATATTAGAGTGATAAATTAAGGAAATTAAATGATGATGACTGTAAAACCTTTGCTCGCTTCCGTGGATCCTAATGTGTTGACAGCTCGTTTTACCAGAGTATATACGAGGAGAAAGATGTAAGTGAAAGGATGGTTAGTAGTTAATAAGATAACACTTTCCAGGAGTTTCTAAGCTTTAGAATGTCTATCCACAAACATATTCATAATGACCTCTAAAGATTAACCATACACCTTATTAACTGCCTTCAGCACTCTCTACAACGCAGCGAAAACCTGTATTAAATGCCTGGGAAAGAATAATGGGGAACAGCGAAGAACAACAGATTATATACAAGAGTTTATAAATTGTAACAGTAAATATAGAATAATTCCAAAAGCATGTGGTTTCTTTATACAATAAGTCAGATGAAAAACGTTTTTTAATCAATAAAACACGAAAAGATTAAGAGAGATCAGAGGAAAACATTACATTAAGATAAAATACCTCCGACACTTTTTAATACGGAATCACCGACAATATAGACTTTATGGAATTTCAACTACATGTTTCAGTGCTGTTCATGCCTCAGACTCAAATTAACAGGTTTACATCTATAAAGATTAAATATGAGACCACTCACAGGAATCTATCATTCATTGAGCGACAAGAACCCATTCATTTCGAGGAGATTTGAAGAATCAGAAATTATCTGCATACCTAACAAAAGTGTTTTCTGTAGGATATGGCAGATTACCCATAAAAAAGTGAGAAAGGGGAAAAAATAGACCCTTGTGACACACCATTTTGATATAGTAAAAACGTACAATACTTCTCTCCAGAGAGGTAAGAACACACGTATTTAGTTATTCCGCTGTCAGTGTTAACTCTGGCAAACTTGTTTGATAGTAGTAGTGTTGAAACAGAGGTACAGAGCTACGGACCGAAGACAACCCACCTTCCTAATTAGTGGTCGAGGGTTGGAAGTTAGCAGATCAGGCATCGACATCTGATTAATGTTCATTGCTTTCATTGCCGTCCACTGATATGTCTCCAGGTGTGTTTTTTTGTACCTTGTAAAGGGATAGGTTATAAGCATTTATATACGCGCTTGAATAAGTTATGCATTTAATAGACATAATTAATGTGTTAAAATGAACACAAAGTTAACTTAGTGAAATAGTTAGATGGTAAGAAGAATCGGTAGCCAAGATATTTAAGCAAGCTGCCAAGTATTATTGAACTTATAAAATCTCCTTTTTTAGTGATGTAAATTCAATAAGTTAAATGAAAGGAATGTGGTTTCACATAATGTAATATCATGTACAACTGTTTATATGTGATTAGTTTTATTGTTAATTGAAAGTATTCGAATGATGTATATAATGAAGCAACTGATATTTTATCAATGAAAATCGATCGTAACATAAATTGCTATTGAATTCGATTTTTATCGTTTTGAGATGACAAATATAAATGGTAACAGATAAATTCAAATATATGAATAAGCTTTCTATTATATTTCATGATAAAAAACATGTTGTTAGCCGAGAATCTAATAGTGCGATATTGATAACTGCTCCTTGATATGTTCATGACCACTTTTTTAAAAAGTTTTTAGTTGTAATTCATACAACGTACCTAACATTATTGTCATGACGATTGAGATTCATAACCCCTATTGATAAAAATTTGGAGCGTGATTATAAATGTTTGATTATTAGTGATTGGTAAACTTGCATTTTAAAATATGTGCTTATTTAATTAGGAGAACACTTTAGGTTGCCTTTACCAATTCGTTAATTGGCTGTAAATAGTACATCGTTGTAATCTGACTATAGTTGAGGTCCATCTGGCCTAAACTGTTTTGATCGGATACCGACATTTGGAATGTTATAGTTGAATTTTATTTCAACTGTTTTGTAGTAGAGAATTTTAACTTGGAAAAACATGCCACATCAATCATATTTGACTGTCATATGATACTGCTGATTGGTTATAGATACTGAAATGACAGGTTGAATCAATTCTTTTATTATTCACAAAGAAACAGAACTTAGTTTGATAATTATCCTGAAATAATGTACCCGTACAATTTATATTTAGGTGGAATGGTTTTACATATCGTCCAAAGGGAACTACACTAAATTGACAACTATTTATTGGCTATAATGATCAGTTTATTGTAAATAGATACAAATTTCTAATTACAATGGTAATTACTGTACCTGAAAACTGATAAACTTAAAAATTCACAAGGTGGAAATAGTTTTTCCTTTAACCATTTTCATGAATTATCTTAACTTATCATTTAACTAATAAATTTATTCTGACAAAGTTTGTCATAGATGTCTAATGATCTGAATATGTAACCGTGGTAACCCAATGCAAATGGCACACTTCATTAATGCTAAATGCTGAATTGGTTTAATATTACTGAATGAATAACGTTTCGAAAGATTGTTCAGTGAAGAAAATTGTCTTATGATTATTTAACAGCATTTTAGAATTCATGAGAGTACACATAAGTAATTATGAAAGAATCCCATTACGCGTTATTAGATAAAATGAAATAGGCTCAGCAGACAATGTCACATACTCAAACTGAAAAAAATGGCATTTACGGTTAATTTTTAAAAATAGTAATCTCGAATGAAATAAAATTATCTTTTGTCATTTGACAAATGTTTCAATCATAATAGTCCAAATATTTAAATATCTAGTCAAGTAATCTGTAATTCAATAAAACAATGTTGTATGATTTTAGAAAGTTAACAATAATAAATGCAACACTGAATCATCAATTGTACATTAACAGACAGACAGGGTTATATGTAACGATGTATACTTAAAGGAAATGTGTTAAGACGACAATAGTTGTAAATTAAGTGATTGCCGTTCATCAAATTTCGTATTGATAGCTAATAAATTACTGTAAAAAAATTATGAACAAGAAACTGTAGATTTTTTTGAAAGAGTTCTAAATATGTTGTCCCTTAGCCATGACATAATGAAAATAATGAAACATTAAATGCATATAGCGTTATCATATCAATCAGTTTTCATGTTTGGCACATGATAGTGGACGTTGTAAACTAGTTGGTAAGGTTTTCCCATATTCGTATATATCTATTTAACTGAAAGGACGTAGAAAGTAATCGAAAATTTCTTTATGCATTCATTATCAATATTCTGTATTATAACATATATGTAGTCTGACTAATGCGAGAAGGAATATTAAATTGTACCTTATGCTATGGCTATCACTGAAGGTGGATCAAAATAAAGTGTTAAGCTTGAAATATTGTAACTGCATAAAATAATGTACTAAGTGTCGTTTGATTTACTTCTAATACAGGGAGCAAAGATCTAAGCAAAGTTTTAATATTATAAATGAAACATTATATTCCACTGATGATCCAAGTTCCTCCTTCAGAGGTTTCCCGTAGTGGCTGAGTATGATGGCATACGTTGCAAAGTTCGTTGGTGTCTGCATCGTCGTCCATAATGTTGTCCCTGTCAGTGAACGCTTCAGAGGTGATGCGAGTTCAGCTACACTCCCACTATAGCAACAACTATCCCTGATAAATCGTCTGTGACAATTCCAATCAGATCTCGATTATTAGTTAAACGATTGAAGAACGACAGAAATTGAGAGAGCACTGCTGAAGTTTCACAAAGAATGAAGGTGGCAGAGATCGGTATGGCCATTATATTCCTATCCAAGGCCACAATTTGATACATAAATAAATTTTTGTTGTTGGTTTTATATATGCCAATAAACCATCTACATCCAAGAAATAATTAGCCAAACAAATTTGCTTTGTTTCAGCAAAGAATAAAGATCATTATTCTCATTCATTTGATACTCATAAAGAAAGTGATATAGTTTTCCATTTTGGCGTAATCCCCTATATTCCATTCATGTAAATATATACACTGCTAACAAAATAGATTGGTCGGTGAAAACAATTTGTCCCTCATATTTTAGCTGCTTCCCGTAAGACTGGCATACAAAGTAGATAAGTTTTAAAGTTGCCGTCCCTAAAATCAGCAAAGATCCAACGCTCTCGAATTTCGTATCAGTCAACCTCCTAATACACGATCTGTTGTTGTGTTTTAGGGGAATACATTCATGTTTATGATGCATATTCTCTCCAATAATAATCTAGTAACCTTCAATAAATTTACGAAATATAAAGGATTGACATTGAGTACTTATAGCAACCCTTCAGGTAACAAAATATTATAAAATAACTTGACTTACCTCCATTGAATATGATAGATCTAGCTGCTCTTTGACCACTTCTATAACATAAATATAATATACAGTTTCCGATTCTTATCGAAATGAGAATAGCCAACCACAAAGTGAGAATAAGTTGTCCTTTCATATTCTTTGATAGCTTTTTAAAATGCTGAAAATAAGTAAAACGCTAAAAAATGTAGCGCAATCAAGAATATATTTCTGGTCCCTTTAACTGATAAATCGGAATTGGTAGACAATGTGTTGGATATTGGAATTTTACTACACAAGATTGGTAATTTCATTCATCATGCGAAGACCATTCCTATCAGAGGGGATAAAAAGGAGAGATCACGTTTTTATTAATTTGGGGTGGTTGTTGCCGAATAATACTTCGCTTTTTAATCCAATGTCATAACTACTCAGAATAATATTCATTTAATTTTCAATAGCATACTCAATATAAGATTGAGTTTATTTTCAGTGTGAACTTCAGTACGATATTCTCAATATCAAATTAACGTCAGCCGTGTTCAGTGAGACATTTTGAAAATTAATAATCAAACAGGTATACAAACCAATATATGAATGAACGTATTTTTGACTAGATTCATCTTGTTTTGGAGTGAATAAATCTTTACTTGTACGAGCTTTTTGTGTTCTTACCTTGTGTTGTGGAAAATGTAATGGGTCCTTGTTTCCAAGTATAAGTATTAGGGCAATGTGAATATAACAATGTCAACGTTCAAAACCATATGACTAGTACTTGGTAAATTATTAACGCTCATAGTTTAGAGAAAAGGTAAAAATAAAAAGAATTATTCAGTTTTTTAAAAAGAATTCAATAACTTCTTTTTTAAAAAGCTGTTTATTTCATTAGACGAAACAGGCTAAAAAATATTTTTGAATGCGATGAAAACTTTTTAAGATTTAAAGAAAAATGAGAAATTCACTCTGACATTAAGGCTATAAGTTGCTTCATGAATACTACTGGTATTGGACTAATTCAACGTAGAATGTTAGTCGTGTGTTCCCTCTAAAGTATAAAATGATTTAAATAGTGTCCAAATGTTTTTGCTCACTAGAAAAGAATTGGGTGCAAATATATAACATGTAGACTTCTGAAAATTCGTAAACATTTGTATTTAATTGGATATGTTTTGATTTCTCAAAATTAATCACATAATTTTTGGGTTATCGGTGGGGAATACCGGAATAAAATACACAGTAGTACATGAACATAGATACATTGGAATCTATGATCTAGAACAGAAGTATATATTGCTCTACGGGTTATAGGAGATAACATTATATATATATATATATATATATATATATATATATATATATGCTATTTAACCAAATCGGTGAGTGAATTTTGTGCCAATATCCAAGGCCTGTTTTCTTATACCTGGTTAGTTCGTCCATAAATTATAGTCTCGCTGCTTACTTAATGAAATTCAAAGACTCCATATTTTAAAACATAATGTTTCACAGAAGAATTGTTATCGGTAGCTTTCTGTTTGGTCATAACCATTGAATTCTCACTAAACTTAAATATTATGATTGTGTTGATTGATGACATACTTTGAAAAGGTTTTTCTTGCTGATTATTGATTAAAACATACCAAAAGTGTATCTTGGTAAAGCTGTGACTTCAGAGGAAAAGTACATGAAAAACTACTGTCAGTTTTTTATAGAGTAAAATTAAACAAGTACAATATAAAATGGAGTGAATGCTGTCGAGATTAACTGGACATAAAATATCTATGAATATAATGTCAAACTTCGTTATTTATATTTCTGACATTGAATTCTAGTTTATTACATTGTTTTTAATTTCAGAGACTTTATTTCGGACAATTAAGCTATGGATAAATAAATCATTTGTAATTTAAGACTGGAGGAAGAAATAATACAGTGATAAATCTCTGGATTATTACTATTATTATTATTATTATTATTATTATTATTATTATTGTTATTATTATTATTAACTTTTTCATCGTAATCGGGAATATTTCAGCTTTTCAATAGTTTGTAAATTATATCCTAGTATCTTGCATTAGACGTTTTGGACAAAAGCTTGATACAACATTTCAATGATTATTAGATATTATTATTCATAGTAATTGTCTTTTCAAATATTCAGTTGTTTTGATGCACTGAAGATTTCAAGATATATCACCTATTGATATATTTTTTTCCTATTAACACTATAAGCAGCGTTTTGATGCTTTCATTTTTTTCATTCAGTTATCACCTATCTGTATTTATTCAGCTTCATTGTAAACAGATTACTTATCTTCAGTTTATCTGTATTTCTAGAGGATGTTATTATTAACAGTCGTTAGCCCCAAGATATATATATATATATATATATATATATATATAGTACGCTTTAATTGAAATCATTTATCCTCAGTTCTATTTCTTTTACTGAAAATGATTATAAGTAATAACAGATATGCAATTATTTACATCGGATTTCTTTTAAAGTTATCCATCTTAGCTGTTACTGTAAACAGATTTGGATAATTGTGTTAATTTCATTTAGAGTTAATCAATAATGGAATTGCATCGGCAGCATCTGATACAATTTATGGTTCTTTTTATAAATGCGCATTTAAACAATTTATAGCATGTACCTCTGAAGATCTAGAAAGTGGATGGAATTTTCTTTTTTTTTTAAGTACACTATGCAATAGATAGTTCAGTAAAGTAGCGTCAGTATCTAATCTTAAAACAGATCTACTGTTTAGAGAAGGTAGATTGATCTGGTGCAGTCAATAAGTTTTTACTATGATCAGAGAACGAAAAACGATAACCTTGGTATGTTATCTGATATCTTCATATGTCTAATTTACATTTAGTATATAGTAACCCTTTGATTGTCCTATTTAAAAATTTCATTTCCTTATTGATAGTTTCCTAGACGAAGGTTTTAGCTGTATATATTGAGCAAGTTCATTGTGTCAATTTTATCACAGATATATGGGTTTAAATTATATGTATGGAGTTAAACGTCTTCATTGCATTATAAATTATAATTACTAAAACAGAGAGTCACTTGTTCAACTATCTTTGGAATGTATTTATAAATGATAACTAGTCGTAATCCACTCTTGTGTTAGTCCTTATAAAACCATTCTTTTCATTGAATGATAACCTCCAAAAGTTATCAGTTGATGTCAACAATTATTGAAATTCGATAGAGAAATAAAAGTTATACCAGAACAAAACATTATGACACCTAGTTTACGATGCAATACAGTTAGTTTCATTCGTAATAGATCGTTTATGATTTTCAAAATGAATAATAGACTGTTGAAAATAAATCCAAACTTTCCCAGCTCGAATTCATGTAAGGTTTTCAAAGCTCATTAATGAAGAATTTCCAACTGAAAGAAAAATATTGTCCAACGTTCCTCACTTCTTAGTGGTCTTTTAGTTGTCCATTTATAATGTGAATCGACCTCAAACAACTAGTATTTGCCTAAATCTTCATAATTAAGTCGTAATAAAGGTAATCATCTGCATAAATTCTGTGACCTTACGGACTATTATGTTCCTTAATTCCGGTATAATAGGGTTAAACTCAGAATTATATTTTTTCAATGAACTTGTTATCCACCAGCTTGTGAATTAATGTCCGGTTTTAGCAATCTGTGAAATTCGGTGTTTCTAGATAAGAATGCCTGTTGAATGGATCGCAAATGAATGGATGTATTTTACTTTATATTTAATAAGACATTAAACAATTTCCCTACAAAAACACTGGTGATGTTATAGTAGTATTGGTGATCAGGAATGAATTTTTAAATCAACTATATGTTACGTTCGTTAGGCCTCATGCTTAAATAGTCATCTTTCCAAACATTATGTTTAGTGCAAACTTTAAAAGAAACGAACTAAATAGTTTTTTCATGTGCATATTCTAGGATGTAATTGTTTATTTGGAATAGCTGCGTTTTAAGTGAATGCACCCATACTCATATTCATCATTTTACCGATCCATCTCTGACCTAATCATGTATTATATCTTTTCTATAATGTAAGGTCAAATATGGTGAAATGATCTGAAAATTCAGTTAGTGCTGATGCATACAAACACAAAGATAATGGTCACTTTATATGATATAGTGGTCTTGATGATCGTTTTAGTCTACTCTGAGAACAAATTTCGCATAATCTCTCATCAGTATATTCTGACTAATTATTTTTCATTGTCAGTAAGACTTCCCTGTAACGCTCACATGTCATCGATCGTTTCTTGCTGACCCACACTTTTGTAGAAGTATAGATAACTTATTTCCAAAATATGTTGCCTGTAATCTTTGTTTCTCACTAACTCACTGAAAGAAATATCTACGATATTTTTACCATCGCTGGTTCAGTCGCACATTTCTGTAATAATGACTTATTCATCGACTAAATTTTGCCTGGAAACCAAATTTAGATTATATTAATGTCATGAACATAAATACGGTAAAAACGGGATTTAAGACACTAAAGACTATCAAGCAAACGTTCACTAATCAGTTTATATAGGTATAATAATCAAACAGTCGTTTGAGATTTAAACAAAAGATAAGTATCTTCCTTCAACATAGTCTTAGTAGAAATCAATTTCTTCTAGATATAAATTCTACATTCTGACGTGCACATGAATAAGAATGAAGCATTTTCAAACTTATGTTCTCTGTAATTTTATTCCTATATGTTTTAAAACTATTTATTATGGAATTAACAGGGAATGTAAACTGTTTTACGCTCAAACACTTGTTCCTCTTCATCGACGGCCTGCTTGAATATCTGGGCTACCTGTTCCTCCCATCTAGATATTTCGTCAAGTTATCTGTTTTTTTGTCTGTTTTAACACATTATTATGTCTATTGAGCTCACAACCTATTCAGGCGCGTTTACGAAAAGTTTACAACCTTTCGCTGTACGGATTACAAAAAGGTACAACCAGCAACATCATGGTGGCTTGCAATATGCATTGAAACGAGTGAACATTATTCAGATGTCGATTATCGAACTCCTAACATCTAACTGGCCATCACTCAATATTTATCGTCAGGATCGATCAAGATATAAGAAAAGGAAACTCGTTGAAATACTTTATGCTGAGATTTCAATATTGTACCACAAATATAATGTTGAATAAAGCTCATAATAATAATAATAATAATAATAATAATATAAAATGAACAAGAAAATTAGTCTTATGTAAAATGAAAACAATATTAAACATTGAATTCTGACATTTTTCACCTTAGAATAAAATCAAAACTAATCACTGTCTGTCTGTAAGTTTGAATACACATCAACACAGTGAGAAACAAAAAAAAAAAAGAAAACATCAAGTAACGTTTTTTGTTCACATAGTATTCATTTTCATGTACATTACAAGAATTCTATGGCCGAACCACCTTAACCTGAAACTATAGTTAACCTAACTTTAATCTTGATGCTAAAATTCACTTTTTCTTTATAGTTTTGGTTCGCATGATAATAAAATTGAAGTGATGTAAAGTCCAGTTTGTTTGTTCTTTTTTTTTATTATTTGTCAGTTGAACAAAATGTGTTTGTCCCTATTTTATGAGACTATTTAAAAAAAACAAAATACAGTTGGTAATGGATGTGAATATTTTAGTCTAATGAGTGAGTTAAATCTGTTTTTTTTTCTCCTTCTTTGACGTATTCCCTTGGCTCTTTAATGTATTTTTAATATTCATTTAACTTAATTTTGAAGTCTGTTCTAGTCTGACAATTTCGATTTTTGGTTGGCCTAATCTAAGAAGTAAGAATTTAATTGATTCACACATTCAGTTCCATAACGTAAATTGGAAAGTATAATTAACTAGATATTATGCTAGTTTTAAATTGTTGGTTTGTTCTCTGTGTAGAATGAAGTAGATAAGAATAATATTTCGTTCTAATACCTATGGAAATGACCTTTATTCATCATTTCTTAAATATCTATGCGATTGGTGAAATAGATGAGGGGGATCATGAAATCAGTTGACAAATAATTGATTAAATAACAAGTAATTATATTACATGTCTTGACGTGTAAGTTATTTCCCATACTGATGCCATTTGAATAACAGTGTTTTTTGTAATACTTTATACGGATTTTCATAATGTAAGCTATTTAACCAATAGTTAACAGACCTATGTTCATCAGGTCAGATCAGTAGTTTGATAGCTGATATATTTTGGCAAAGTAGATTCTGAAATATATTGTTCTAGTCGGTAATATCACATTACACGAACTCTGCTTCGTAACCACATGAAAATACACTTCTTGTATTATGCGATACTTACTGTTTTATATATTATTCCAACCAAATAAACTTAGTGGAACGTACTGATAGAAAAATGAGATCTCATATTTTGAGTATTGGGTTATAATGCATGAATATTAGTTGAATATGAGTGTACCCATAGTGATATCTGATGAGGAACACAAAATGCATCAGGAAATCTGATGTATTCAATCGTCACTATAAAATCTGAAAATGTTGCTTACATCTTGATATTCCCTTGTTCAAACGATTAACAAATTCAGAGTAAACTATGTTGAAACATGATATGCCTGAGTGGAGTATGCACGATAATTGGGAAAGGATCTGCACTGATAATATACTAATTTCTTAGAAATACTACTGCTATCCCCCAATCTTATATCCTACTGGTTTGCAGAATATAGGGAGACAAAACTTGGCCTGAGGCTAACAAGAATATATTTTAGGGAAAAATACCACTCTTTTATATACAGATTCATTTTTTCGTGATAACCAATTAAGTTCAAGTAATTATGGCTTAAATGAATATTAAACTACATACACACACAAAAGAAAACGTCATTACACACTCGAATGTAATATTGAAGTAATCAATGGAAATTGTCAGAATACAGTCGAATATCATTGTGAATGGTTTTCGTTATTTAGCTATAATATCACTCATGGTTG